ATGTATGTATGTAGCTACAGACATGGCATTCTCTGGTTGGGGAAACTGCACAGAAGTGCCAAATGCATTCTCGCAAATGAATGCCTGCCCCGCAACGGAAGATGAGATCATGTTCTGGAGCAATTATTCTATGATGAGAGATGATGGAAGAAAACCCTTGCCTTGCCCCCACATGTCTACATGCGTATCGTATCCCACTTCCGCTGCCACATGGATTTGACCTCAGGGAACACTACATATACAGACTATATATACGAGTACATTTGAGACATTTCTTTCAAGAAGATAAGCCGCTGTATGTAGCTTCTAGCAGGCTGCTAGTCGCTGCCCCGGCGATAAGCAGACTTCTTTCTGGTGCTCCCAATTCTCGTTCTCGAGTGTCGCAGCATGCTGCGGATTCCATGCTGGATTCCATGCCCATGTGCTTATCGCCTCAGAAACAAAAACACAAAAACACAAAAAAGAGTCAATGCTCTAAGCGAACAGAAGCGAGCAACATGTAAGCCGAGACTCCCTTCATTCATTCAAATGAACGAGTAAATATCTCTATCTCTGCTCTGCTCTATATACACACATATGTACATATATGTACGAGTATATATGTACTATATAGAAAACTATACTCCGCTGATAACCCCACGAAAAAACTCCCTAGCTCCAGAACATCCAGACATCAGCAAAACATTTCAATGGGGTTCGGACTCTTTTGCTTTTAGGCGATTTCTGCTGTCGTGTGTCGAAGTGGAAACCCATTAAAAATTGTTTTCGAAATTTTACGAGACAAGAGCCAACACACGTTTCAAAGAGGAACCTGAAACCCCGAAAAACAAGTTGCATTCTCCCTCTCTGCCTCTGCCTCTGCCTCTGTCGCTCTCTCTCGCTGTCCTTTCTTTTGTGCGTTTTCTTCTGGTGGTGCTGCCATTGGCCTTACCTGTTCAAAATTGATGGTCAAATCGACTTCATTGTATTTCATGCCTCGGGACAGGGGCGGACTCTGCCACCAGGCCTCGGTGCCATCGATGGCGTTCTCTGGCGGATGATTTTTGTCCGGCACATTCGGATCACACACATCGCAGACCTGCAGGAATGGCAAAGATCAAAGACACACATGTTAGAAAAATCCACAGAGTTCCAGTTCCAGAGTATTTTTAGAGTCCAACGTGCAACACATGGGGCACACACACGATCTTGTATGTATACCCATGAAAAAAAAACCATTCTTTTTTTTTTGTGTGTTGGGGCGTTGGTGGCGCTGTCCCTTGTCGTACCTGTCCTTGGATGACCGAGTAATCAATGTGATCATTTTCCGTATTGGCGCCCACCAGCTTGCAGTAGAGCTCGGGTCCATCGGTGTCCTCGCCGCATGTGGCAGTGGCAAAGATCTTGCGGCCCGTGGCCAAGTTGAAGTACGGAGGCGTTAGCTCCGCCTGGCACTGGGCTATTGCTAGCAGGAGGCACAGGGCCACACCCACAGGCACTGGTAGCCCCATTCTTGGGCTGGCGATAAGGAGAATCCTTTCCAAAGACCCTGCTTCCGGTTTCACTATTGTCTTGTCGATTTTCACTTTCTTATCTTTTGGTTCGGTTTTCGGTTCGTTTTATTTTGGTATTTCTTTTAGAGAGCCCATCCAACCGCACTGGATGGCTCCTCGCGAGCAAGTGATGTCACTGCAGCGAGAAGTTTTCCTCGAGACCGACCCCAGATCCGATCCGATCCGTTCCCAGAAGAAACCTTAATCTCTCGCACGAGTCGCGGGGTCTCTTCGTGTCCGATTCGATCCGACCCGATTGTCTCTCGTTCGTCTTCGGCTGGCTCCCCCTTGGAGCATGAAGTAATCTGTTCTTTCAGCCTTTGTTGTGCTCTCACCGTTTATTGTTTACTTTTGTTTGTCTGCTCTCTCTCTCTCTCTCTCTTTGCTGTATGCTTCGTTTTTCGCCGGCCGGCTGGCTGGCTGCTCGGAGACGAAACGGAATCGAAGCCAAACAAATGGAAAAAACTGGTTTTTTGCTCTGAGGAAATGCATGGAATCGAATCGAATCGATCTGGTGCGTCGTCTCTGTCTGCTGGTGAATGGATGTTACTATTTGGAGTTTTTTGCTCTCTGCATTTGAATGCTCTACCATGGGGCAGGGTGATTTTGTGATGCCGTTTGAAACGGCAACAAATTGTGGCTTTCCAATCCATTGAGCTCACCTTTGAGCTGTTTGTCCAAGCGATTCGTGGACAGTGTATGTGTACCTGCAATTAAAGCTATATTTAAAGGAAGAGTTGTGGCAGAATCTGACACTCACGCCACTTGTAGTCAGGTAATGGGGTATCTATGGATTCCATCCTGGTGGCAGAGCCTCTGCCAAGAGGCTGCGGCGCTTCTTCTCTGAGTCCGAAGGCGCATAGATGGCGTCCTCGCAGCCGGGAGGGCCATGCCTAGAAAGATTCTTTATGAGTATCAGTTTTAACAAGAAAACAACGTTTAGGAAGCTCCACTAATTATGAGCAACAATCCATCGTCAAACAGCGGCTACCAAAGGGGGATGCGTGCCTCTGCCGTGGTTAGTAAATGTCCCACCGCGCTTCATCGTCCAATAAAATGCCAAAAACTAGTAGAGTCCACTAGACCGATGACAACTGCTGTTAGTTAATCCAACGGTACAAGATATGCTGCTTAATTTCAACATAATTATTGTTAATTAGTCTGGAATTGACTAATTTTGGCGCGAAAACTTCTTGTTCGCGGTATTTTTGTTTTTTGTAAACAACAGACATGTAAGTCGATAGCATATCGAGAGCAGTTCCTATTAGCATCGCATAGAAGTTGCCGATGTTTCCCCCCACCCCTGACCGAAATGTGCAAGCATCGATTGCTCAATCAGCCTTATCGATACTGATCGTCCATCACTTTCACTGAAAAATGGCGGCAAGTGCACCGGCGCGGCGGGAATTTCGGGCCCGCGATCGTAATAAGAAAAGTGCGTGCAAATAATTCAATGTTCAATGTTTTGTCGCGTTTATAATCGTGGTGTTGTGCCAGAAAAGTGTAATTGCGAAATAGTCTAGCGGAATGGGCCCCGCCTAGGCTATGCTGCCAGTGCAACAAGTGTGTGTTTTGTGTAAAAGAAGTCCGCAGGGGACTTGGAAGTTGCGTAAATATTTTAATATTTTCTTTAGTTCTTCATAAGTAAAAGTGATCTAGTGAAAGTGAAATAGGCTAGGGGAATGGGCCCCCGCTAGTCTATGATCCCGTTATAGTGCTGGTGTCGGTGTGTGTGAAGTGCGAAAATAAATGAAAATGTCTCGTTTTTTTTTTTAATTTATAATGAATGATGCAGAGAAAGTTATAATTAAAAGTAAGCTCGAGTCGATTTTATTTTTTGCTTTCCAGAAGTGTTATACCTTTTTTTTGTTTTTGTGCCTTACCATTTACCAAAATGGCCACCCGCCATGCTCAGGTGCCGCTGGTGTGCAGGAAGGTGATGTATTAAAGCATCCCAAAACATGTCCAATCGTGTCCAAAACCAAATTCAATTCGCGTTCGTTTAGCCCGTCATCGCCAAAATCCGAAAATTTATTGCATTACCGTTAAAACCAGCGAAATGCAGAGGAAAAGCAGCGAGCAGCCGCCACTAATCTTGTGAAATAGCAGGCTCTACAGGTGTCAGTGCGCGCGTGTGTGTGTATGAAAGAAGTGCGCGAGTGAATTTTAAAGGTCTTTAAAAGGTCGCTAATTTCGCTGATAATATATCATCAAGTATAAACTCTAACTAAAACTAAATATTGCACGTGTTAGATCTTTTTTTTCGACTTGTTATTTATTGAATTTTCGCGTACCGCAATTCTCAGCACCGTTACAGCTGGTACATTAGTGTCAGTGCGTGTGTGTGTGTGTACAAAAGTGCGCGAAGAAATCGAAGGTGAAGTCGAAGCAAACGCAAACTCGTTCAAGCCTGTCCAAAAGCAGAAAATGCAGCCCACCATCGCCAAAATGTTGAAGTTTATTGCTATACCGATTAAAAAAAAGCCAAATGCAGAGGAAACCAGCCAGCAGCGGCTGCCGCGCGGCTGCAGCGCTGCCAGCATTTGAAAATCACGATCAGAACCAAGAAATTGCGCGAAATTCATGACCAAAGCGTCGGCAGCGCTGCCAGCGTCACTGCTGCCACTTGTTGACAGCATGGGCTCTTTTTTTGGTGGCAGCCAGCCTCTTGGCTGATCGGCTCGGGGGGCGATCGGATCGCAATGACAAAAATAATTGCATTGATAAAGACTGCCACTGCCGTGAGTGTCAGAGCGAGTTGTTTTCGGCCCCAATCGTCGGTCCGTCGGTCCGTCGGTTCGTCGGTCGTCTCTGCGGCTGGATTCAAACGAGTTCTTATGACGTAATTCGCCGCGACGTTTACCGTTTGTCTTGCTCGTTCCGCTGTTGTTGCTGTCGCTGCGCTTTATGCAATGCACGCAAATGAACATTGTCGGAAAAATAAATGGAAATATTCGGTTATATGAAAAACATTAGTGGTCGGAAAAAACCTCCGCGATTGCCACATCCAACAAGAAGTTCTTGATTTAGCCTGTCCCACACAGCCGTACAGGCCGTGCATGCCGCAGAGGCCGCACAGGCCGCTCAACCCACCCGGCACAGTGGGCCGAAATGAGGCTAAACGTCATGCCATGGCGGTAAGTGGTATTTTATTTCATTGAACTTTATTGCACACACCCTGCCCTTCCCTGTTTCCCTGTGTCCCCATAGCTTTCTCTGAACATTCGCGCCAGATTTGTTTCACTTTGCGATAACTTTGGGAGACGGGTTGGGAACTCTTGTAGCTCTTTACGGTTTACGGCCGTCAGGTGGCCTGACCTTTGCCATCTCATTCGCTCCACTGTGGCAGCGCTGCCGGCGCTGGCGCCGACCGTCGGCGTCGCCGTTCACTCGGACGCGTTTTCACTTATTCGCGATTGCATGTTCGGATCGGCGTTCAATTTGGTTCTTAATCTCGTCGCGTGTGGTGCATGGAGCCGCGGCGCAGCTGTTCTCCTCCGATCTCCTCCGCACTCCTCCGTTCTCTGCCATGGTGCTGCTGAAAGTGATCAAGTATCTAGTGGGTTAGTGAGAGTATTTGTTGGTGACTTTATCATCAACCGAATCATTGTTTTTTGTTTGTTTTCCATGTGTCCCCCCCACCCCCTGTTGTGCTCCTGTTGCTGGTTTTCCTGTTCCCTGCAGGCTGCGTGGCGCGTGTCTGCCAGGAGTTGTCCCAGAACATGACTTCCCTCAACAAAATGTTTAAATATCATTTGCTGGAGATCTCCTAGCGCCAGGAGACAGGACATGGAGAGCATACAAATGTAGATTGTGTGGAGATCCTTCGTTATTTTCTAATTTTTTAGTCTTAGAGTGGCTCAAGCAAGTCTTTTGTTATGGAATCCACAAATAAAAAACCAAAAAAACCAAAAAACCAATGCCACCCGCACTTTGGAAACTCGAACTCATTTCGGGGTATCGGCTCGGCAGTAGAATGGCAATTCGATGACCTTCAGAGGCACAAACCCCCCACCCAGTTCTTTTTTTGTCTTTCATTTCCAGTTAATTGTTTATTGCATTCATTCGAGTGGAACTCGAAAAACTGTTCCGAAGAATTACACGCTAGAGATAGACCAAATAGTGCCTGAGCTTTGGAGTTTCCCCACAAAGTCCCCAGAAAACCCAGAAACCCCAGAAATGACCAGCGTGAAACAGGTCTCTCCCTCTCCCCCTCTCCCTCTCTCCCTCCCTCCCTCTCTCTCCCTGAAATCTCGTTATGACTGATTGTACAAACAAAAGCGTAAGGCGGCAATCCAGCAGTATTTACAATTAAAGCCGGGCTAAAAAGGTGAAAAATAAATAAAACAGAAATCATGCAAAATTAATATTCGATCGCGTCGTCTGTTGCGACGTCACACATAAGCATCTTAGCGGCCAGCAAAAACCATGGGTTTCATCAAATTAAGTAGCCAAAAAATCCCCGTTTTTGGATGTCAAGAGGAGGCGAGCGAGCGAGCGAGCGAGCGAGAGAGAGCGAGAGAGGGAGAAAAGAGGGGCTTGGTCGAGACGGAATAGAGACGTCATTCCCGCAGAGAGAGACTATTCATTCATTCATTAATCATTCAGAGATGATTGATGCCTGTTTTAATTTTAGCCAATTCTCTTGCCAACAACAGCGTGTATTTGTATCTTTATCTCTGAAACGCTCACACAAGCAGAAGATGGGTCAAAAGATGGTCGCAACAAAGACGTCACAGAATTGATGGCATGTGCCCAAATGTATCTTGTATCTACCACACATTTGCATGGCATACACATATTCCTATGGCACAGTATCTCCATGACATGCAGACGTCATAGATTTTTGATTAGGACTTAATTTTTGGAACTTTTCGACACACATTCGATTTGGGAGATTCACGTGATTTTAGTCTCAAACGGCTACGTCATGGAATTTTGGTGGTGGCATTTGTGTGTGGGTTCAGATTCAGATACTTTAGTTCAGCAGATACAGATATGTATCTTGTTTAGCATTTGGATTCACGAGACTTGGGGTTGAAACCAAAAAAACCTAGAAAAATCATACGTATCTGTATCTGTATTTGTATCTGTATTTGTATCTGTATTTGTATTTGTATTTGTATCTGTATCTGTACTTGGCCTTGGCCTTTGACCTGCTGGATATTTCCATTCAATATTGTATACCTAGACGAAGATTATTTTTATTTATACGTTTATACAGAAGATATATCTAAGATTTTGTCATTTCTGGCACGATTCACGAGATATGTATGTGGGGTCCTTGGGACTACTGGTCCTTGACGAAGGACCTGCCAAAGTTCATGACGCTGCTTACGAATGTCAGCATCGATGTGATCATCGAGTGGGCGTGCTTGGAGCTCTCCGTGGTGTCGCCAGGGGCCCCGGAGCCCCCTCGGTCGTTGTTTCTTTTGACCTTGACCCTGGGGGAGGAGGAGGCCTTGCTCCTCTTCGGTTTTCCCGACGGCATTTCGGCGCTGCCGAAGAGGCGGTCGAGTCGCGGGAAGACCAGCCTTCGGCTGCCCCACTCGCCGCTGACTTCGTTGAGACGGTCGTCGTCCTCGTCGCTGAGCTCCTCGCGGTACGGCAGGGAATGGCCTTCGGGAGGGGAGGGAATTCGAGGATGAGAGGTGAGAGGATGAGAGGGTGTCTGCTGGAGGGTGTTTCCCCTGCACTTACTCGTGAGAATCGTGGCTCCGACGATGAGGAGTACCGCCAATGTCTTCGATGAGTGCATGTCGCTTGGTCTTTCACTTGGTTCTTGATAACGGAATGAATCGAATGGCCCAGCAGAGCGGAACTTTATAAAGAAGCGCCCCAGATTGATCTACGTGATGGAATGGACTGGACTGGAATGGAATGGAGTGGAGTGGAAAGCAGTGGAAAGCAGTGCGCACGTTTCACCGAACTATTGTCTCTTTTTATTATTCATATATTTAAATTTAAGTCCAAACACATAGCCATAACCATAATTAACACGAAATCTATGTAACCGGAAAAAAAAGAAGCAGAAAACATCCAAAGGTCCAAGAGTGTCTATGGATTCGCGATGCTGTTCGGGGTCGTCGGCTTGGACGACCTCAGCTTGAACAGCTCGTAGGCACTGTCGTGCTCCGCATCGGCCAGCCGCTCGTCGTGCACTGCCCCCGTGCTCCAGTAGACGTCCTCGAGCTGGTGGCGGGAGGGCTTTTCCGTGGGTCGTCCCGCGGCCAAGCTGCTGCACATTGCTGCAAAAGTTACAGTGATAATTGCCCTGTAAGTGACTCGACTCCAAAACACTCGACACTAACCACAGACGAGTAGAGTTGCGAGGAAGAAGTCGAATTTCGACGACATGCTGTTCGATATTTGATGTTTGATGTTTGATTGATCTCTGGATCGGTCCGATCTGTGGCATTAACTGACGGAAGAAATACGGATGCCTCCCCAATTTATATACCAGAAGAGACCACGGCCGAAATGCTCTCTGCTCTGCGCTGATTGGTGTTCAAGGAGGAGACCAACCGATGGACGCGATGGACGGGCGGGTGGTGCCTGCTAGCTGGCGTATCTGGTATCTGCCGTTTGGTGTCTGGCGTTTGGTGTCTGGCGTCTGGTGTCGTCGTGCGGGAGATTATGCAAAGTATCTGCCGAAAATAAAGACAAGACAAAAACAGAATAAAAGGCTCGAGGCATCGGCGGCGTTCTGTCTGTCTCCCTCCCCATACGCCTGGGGGCGCACGGGCTGTCGCCACAGCTGTCTTTGTTGTTGTTGTTGTTGCCTTTGTTGCTGTTGCTGCTGTTGCTGCTGTGGCTGCCACCTATCTACCTACCGGTCTTTGACGTCTTCGTTGGGTGCACGTGAGCTCCGAGCCGAGCTCGTCGATTGATGAATTATTGATTTAATCGCTGGCTAATTAGTTAACACATTCGATATTTCATTCGCTCGTTCGCTCAGTCGCTCAGTCGCTCAGTCGCTGTAAAAGTGTGCCATGCCCATGCCCTTTCCCCGAGAGATATTTTCATTTCAATATATATTTGATTTGTTTTTTTCTGGTTAATCTGTAATCATTTTTCAATTTTCGATTAGGAATAGCTTAAGGAACATTTTGGGCCAAGAAATACATAATTAATTAAATATTGTACAAATGTTTTGGGCATCTCCATGGAATCTCCTAATCCTTTTCGTAGCCAAAGAAAACTGTCCACCTCTCGTATGTGGATGACTGTTCGCACAGGAACGATTCCATGGCGCAGTAGACACTGCTGTAGTCCGTGAATGCTGTGGGAGTACGTGAGTTCGGTTCGATCTTGAAGGTGGTGGGGGGGAGGGGGACTCTGTTCTACTCACTTCTTCCCGCGTGGCAGGCCGCAATGTCCATGAGGCACTTGGACGGATACTTTCGAATGCAGTTCCCGTCCTCGTCCAAGCCGCAAATGGCAGTAGACTGCCCCTCCGTCTGGGGGCAGCTCTCCTCCGGCGGGCAGGGGGATCGAACGGAGGTGGAGATGCATGCGGAAATGTAGAGGAATGTGCAGGCTGCGAGGGGTGGCACGGGATTAGGCTTGGAAGATGCTTTTTTGGGAAGTACTACGCACCCAGGAAGAGGAGACCCATCACCAGGGTGGTGCTCATTTTGGATACAGCCCGCGACCGCCGACGGCAAGAGTGGGAAGCGCACTGCGCCAACGAATCTATAGCCGCAATTTAATTAGGCGAATACGCTGATAAAAGGCGATAAGAATACGGTTACGATTACGGTTTGCGGGTTACGGGTTACGGGTTACGGGTTACGGGCACGCCTTGGTTGAACAATCAAATAGATAAAGAATATCATCATCTATAGAAATTCTATAGAAACTGTTGGATCTCTGCATGGATCCACCCGAAAGCACGGCTCCCCGCCCGAAGGAAGACATTCGAAGCGGATAGAGAGGATAGAGAGGGGGGAGGGAGTGCGTATCATAATTTATTTCCAGAACAGTGCAAAAACGATTTTCTATATAGAAGTTCGACTGTTCGACAAGATCCTCCATGGAAGCCGTGTCCACAGCCAGTCGTTTCCCACGAATCCCGCCTTTAGTCAGCTTCGAATCACTGAAAATGGAATCCGGGAACTACGGATTCAAGCCAGCAACACCTTACGGCTGTGCTTATTCGGCTTTTAACGAATATTTGTCTTTTATTTGGCGGAAGATATAGTATCTTTTTATACCCGATAGGTAACGTGTGTGTAACGTCCAGAAGGAAGCGTTTCCGACCCCATAAAGTATATCTATTCTCGATCAAAGTGCCCGACGACATGTCCAGACACGTTTACTGTCTCTCCCGTAGCCCCACTGACTACGTATCGGGTATAAATGTAGAGTAGCGGTCGCAGCAGCAACTCCCAACGGTCCCCCTCGTTAAATTTCAGTACGAAGCTCAATGAATTTTGGGTACGAAGAACTGTACGAAGTATAGCTCTCCAACAGATCAGCTGCTGGAAAATCAAGCCGTCCCCATCCTTGGCGTTCAACGACAAGGCTACTCGTAGATACATTGACGATTTGGGGAAACCGTCCGCTTTTGGTGCTGGTGCACTCTCCCAGAAGGCTCCTGCTCCTCCCGCCTGGAGGCCTGGAGGCTATGCTCAGGGCGCAGGATCGTCGGTGGACCAATCCGGCTTTGGACTTGGATTTGGAGCCAAGCCCGTGTTCGCGGCTGCTCCGGCCTTCGGGGCCGTCGAGAGTCCCACCTTTGGGGAAGCCACAACGTTTCGCAATTTCAAAGGCCCGAACGTCTCCGCACCACCAGCCGTCGGAGCCCCAGGGACACTGGCAGGCGGCAACATCTTCGACTCCTTGGGTGGACAGATATCTGGCTTATCCTTTGGCGATTTGGCAAGCCAAGTCCTTTAAAAAAACATCACGCTGATAATCCAGCGAAGGAAGCGAGTACCGATGATGCAGGGCTCCAGTGTCGTCTACTCTTTGACCTTTGGGCAGTGCATTTGTGGGCCTCCCTTGAGTGGAAGCGACTCGCAGGAAAGAAGGATGAATGGACGCCAGAAAGGGGCAACATCGTTTAATAAAAAGGCAAAACAAAAGAACTTTTATTGGAAGAACATAAAATATTTTGATGGGTTTTGTGGGTTTTGTGGTTTGAGTCCGTGCTAGCGCGCTCCAGAGAAGGGGAAGACTGGCCCCCGAGTGCTGCATACTTGTGTGCGTTGAGAGTATCTTCAAGATGCCTTCGTCTGGCTGCGATACAGCTTCGAGTAGATGCCGTTCTTGGCCAGCAGCTGCGCGTGGGAGCCCTGCTCCGCGATGCGTCCCGCTTGAATCACGCAAATGACGCTCGCGTTCTGAATGGTGGACAGGCGATGGGCAATCACGATGCTGGTGCGTCCGCTGCACGCGGAGTCGAGGGCCTGCTGCACCACCTGCGAGAAGGAAACCAATTGAGAGAGGGGTGCCATAGAGGGGTGCGATAGAGGGGGGGGGGCTCGGAAAAGTACCCTTTCACTCTGGAAGTCCAGGGCGGAGGTGGCCTCGTCCAGGAGCAGGATCTTGGGGTTCCTAACCATCGCCCGGGCAATGGCGATGCGCTGCTTCTGGCCACCGGACAGCTGGGTGCCCTTTGACCCCAGGACGGTGTCGTACTGGGCGGGCAGGGACATGATGAACTCGTGGGCATTGGCCATCTTGGCGGCGTCGATGATCTGCTGCATGGGAATCGTGCGGCTGGTGTCCCCGTAGCCAATGTTCTCGGCGATGGATTTCTCGAAGAGCGAGGGCTCCTGCGAGACGAGACCCAGGCGGCGGCGCAGGGTCTTGAGCCCCATATCCTGGTGGATGCTCTCCTGATCGATCAGCTGTGGAGTGAAGTGGAGTGGAGTGGAGAGGGGAGTCGGACAGGGAAGACACTGAATAGGAGGACGGATACGTACAATCTTCCCCTCGTCGGGATCGTAGTAGCGCAAAAGGAGCTGCACGCAGGTGGACTTGCCCGACCCGGAGGCGCCCACGAGGGCCACCGTTTGTCCCTGCTGTATCTCCAGATTGAAGTCCTGCAGGACCTTGAGGTGGGGCCTCGACGGATACGCGAACTGGAGGCCCCGGTAGCAGACGCCCTGCTGCACCCCCACATTCGTCTTGTGCGGCGATCCATTGCCGTTCTGCAGCAGGGACGCGATCCCCGGATCCGGCGACTGGATCTGCGGCCGCCGGTCGATGATCTCGTACATGCGGTTGGCGGAGAGGAGGGCCGCATTGAAGGCCGGCGTGAAGGCCAGCGATTGGGCGAGGATGAACAGTCCGTAGAGCATGGTATTGGAGATCCTGTGAGGGGAGAGAGGAGAGGATAGATCATGTTAGATCATGCGATGTGGGGGTGGGGGGTACCACGCTGGACGATGGACTCACTTCATGATCGTCTCGAATTTGATCTTCCCGTCGGCGCACATGTGTCCGCCGTAGGTCAGGGTCACCGCGTAGCCGAAGAACATGAGGGACTTGCCCAAGGAATTGACGAGTCCCCGCCACTTGAGGCGGGTGAGGATCTGCACGCGGTAGCGCTCCACCTCCTGGTCGTAGACCCGAATCAGCTCCGCCTCGCGGCGCAGGCCGGCGACAGTGCGGATCTGGGCGATGGTCTCCGTGGCTATGCGACTCGTCTCCTCCAGGACATCCTTCTCCTTCAGCGCCGAACGCTCCCCGAAGCGAGCCTCGAAGACGATCGAGGCAATCATGAAGGGGGCCGTGCTCAGGCAGATCAGGGCCAGCTCCCAGGAGTACGGAAAGGCGATGGCAATGCTGCAGATGAAGTTCGTCAGCGCCTGGATGATGTTGCTCAGCGGGAAGCCGATGGCGCCCTGGACACTGGCTGCGTCGCCCGAAAGCCGGGCCGAGAGGGCCCCAATGCTGTTGTCCTTGCGGTCGAACCAGCCCATCTCCTGCTGCATGATGCTGCTGAAGGTCCTGGAGCTGCAAAAGAAGAGAATCAAGTGGGGGTAAAGGACTCTCCCCGAGGACAAGGACAAGGACAGGGACAGGGCAAGGGACAGGGACAAGGACTCACCGCATTCGCATCGTGAGCCACACACCCGCCAGATTGAAGAAAAACGTTTGAATGAAGCACACGATGCCGGCGGCGACGCCAATCACCAGCGAAATGATGGCCATCGAGGAGCTCTGATCGAGCACCTCCTCGTCGGTGGGCTTCGCCAGCGAGCCGTAGAGCTCCGCCAGGACGATGGAGAAGACGGGCATCGTGACGCCGTAGATGCCCGCGCAGATGGCTCCAATGATGAGGAAACTCCACTCGGGCCGAGCGGCCACGACGATGCGGAAGAAGGTGCGAATGTAGTTGCCGCCCGTCGCAGGCTCCTGGGGGTCCACGTCCTCCTGCGGCGAGCTTGGCGGCGCCACACCGTTCAGGTGCTTCATCTGGAAGGCGTTCTTCTCCAGCGCCTGCGGCTCCGCATCGTACGCGGAGCTCTTGCGCTCCTTCTTTGGGACGGCGGCCTCCTCCTCCATTTCGTTCATTAGCTCCTCGGCCGAGTCGTCGTACGCGTGAACGGTGACCATTTTGTGGTAGAATCCTTCGATTTTCATTAGCTCCTCGTGGGTGCCCTGCTCCACCGCCTTCCCCTGCTCGATGTACACGATCCGATGGGCGTGGCGGATGGCGGAGAGCCGGTGGGAGACCACCAGCGTGGTGCGCCCCTTGCAGGCCTTGTCGAGGGCCTCCTGGACGAGCTTCTCCGAGTGGTAGTCCAGCGCGGAGGTGGCCTCGTCCAGGAGCAGGATCTTGGGCTGCTGGATGAGGGCCCGGGCGATGGCAATGCGCTGTCGCTGTCCGCCCGACAGCTGGACTCCCTTTTCGCTGATGTTTGTGTCGTAGCCCTGGGCGAAAGGAGTGGGAGAAGGGTTAATGTCTTGATCTTAATCTATGGGATTCAATCAGCGGATGAGCGAATCAGCTACCTTGTGGAGGGCCACAATGAAGTCGTGGGCATTGGCGGCCTTGGCGGCATCCTCGACATCCTTTTGGGTGGCCTCCGGCTTCCCGTGGCGGATGTTCTCCCCGATGGAGCCCTGAAAGAGCACCGGTTCCTGGCCCACCACCGCGATGTTGGAGCGCAGCCACTGGATGTTGTACTTGCGGACGTCCTCGCCGTCGAGAAGGACCTGCCCGAAGATGGGGTCGTAGAAGCGCTGCAGAAGCTGGATGCAGGTGGACTTGCCACAGCCCGAGGGTCCAACGAGGGCCACCGTCTGTCCCTCCTCCACGACGACATTGAGTCCCCGAAGGACGATGACGTCCTCCCTGGCAGGGTACCGAAAGAACACGTCCCGAAACTCCACGGCCCCCTTCAGCCCGTAGTTGAGGATCTTGCCCGCCTTGGAGAGCGGGTCAATCAGGGATCGCCGATCGATGACCTCGAAGATGGCCGCCGCCGATCCCCGAGCCATCGCGAACGTCTCGAGGAAGGGGGAGGTGCGGGAGATCTGATTGGCGGCCACGATGATCCCCGAAATGACGATCATGACCACCGCTGGGGTGTACACCCGCTCCTCGATGGGAATCGCGGGGTCCCTGTAGAAGAGAATCAGATTGGCGCCGTACCAGAAGGCCCCCGCCCCCGTGATGAACATCATGGCCTTCATCACCGTGTCGCTGAGCCCCGAGAAGGCGCCCTTCCACTTGCCCGCCTTCAGGGCGGGCTTCAGGAGGGTGTCGTAGCGCACGGACTCGCTTTTCTCGCCCCCAAAGGCCACCACCGTGCGAATGGCGCCAATCACCTCCTCCACCACAGAGCTGGCGCGCACATACGAGCTCTGCTCCTTCGCCGTGAGTTTCCCCTGGTACTAGAGAGCGGGCGAGAGAGCGGGAAGCACAGAGAGTAGTCCCATTATTCCACACAAATTACAGTTATTCCCCCCCTCAGCGACACTCGAATACCTGTCCCCGTCCCCATAGGCATCAGCCGCATAAGTCGGGCAGAGCACGAGACTCGCCTCGCCAGCGCGCTGCCGCGCAGCCGCTGCGTCGAGAAGCCGAAGAGGGACTTTGGTTTCCGAAATCAGTTCGGGTGATCGCCTCGCCTCGGCTCGGCTCGGCGACACACACAAACCTCATACTTGATTGGGCGGGCTACTGTGGGAGGGGAGTAGTTCTCGCACAGAGAAGCAGACAAACAACTCACTTTATGGGGCTTTGCCTTTGCCTTGCCGACGGCGACTGCAACGGCGACAGCGAAGGCGACAGCGACAGCGAAGGCGAAGGCGAAGGCGAAAAGGGAAACGATGCAAAATTGTTTTTGCAATTAACATGGGCTTCTGCTAATCGACTGATGTGTCGCCAGTGCGTGTGAGGGAGTGGCGGGCGGGGGATGCAGGGCGCACCAGTAAATAATTTTAGCAGGCACTTGTTCCCTATTGCTCTCTCTTTCGTTCGCCGGGAGGATACTCGAGTGTGCGTTGATCTGGGGCTGTGCGAAGTTGTGCAAAGATTGCGAGAGGGGAGCCTTCGGGGCACTGGTACTTACGTGTGCCACCGCGGAATTGACCGCGAGGGTGAGGGGTATGTAGAAGACTATCGACAGAGCCAGCTTCCAGCCGTAGACGAAGGACAGGACCACGCTGATGAGCACCTCGCACAGGATCTCCACGTAGTGGCCCAGGTTCTCGGCGATGCCGCTGCGTATCTTCTCCATGTTGCTGCAAAGGGGAATCATCAGGAAAAGTGCACTGGGGGGGAGGGGGGGGGTCCTCTGGGGTTACTCTGTTATGCGGACGGCAAAGTTCTGGTCCTTGGCCATGTCGTGCCACCCGATCTCCTGCCTGAGGGTGGCCTTGAAGAACTCCCTCCGCATGCGCACCGTGAGCCGCAGGGCGAGGCGGTTGAAGGCGTCCACGTAGTACATGCCGGAGAAGAGCATCAGGAGGGTGTTCAAGGTCATGAGGATGCCAAAGGAGACGCTGTCCTTGCGCAGCTCCTCCATGTTCTCCTCGTACGTGGCGTTGGTCCTGCAAAACGAAGGGCCTGATGGAATCCTTCGCCTGGAGAGAGATCCGCATGGGCGGAGGACTACTTACAGCACCTTTCCGCCTCCGAAGAGCGACAGCCCGATGGTAATGGAGCTGGTGCCCTGCCCCAGGGTCCGGTCGATGAACATGGCCACCAGTTCGCTGTACACCACAATGGCAATCGGATAGACCAGAGACTGCAGGAGGGCTGCTATCAGGGCGGACACGAACAGGACATAGTCCCAGGCCGTGATGTAGCGAAAGAGTTGCGTGTAGCCGACCATCGGATGGGCATCCTTTTTGGCCTTCTTTTCCCTCCCTTTTCCCTTTGCCTTTCCCCTGCCCGAACCGTCCTCCTCCGCCTCCTCCTCCGGGTGGGCATCATCCACGTCAGCGTGCTGTGGCATCTCTGCGGACTGCTTTCTCTCTCAAATGAACAGACTGGGAATCTATCTTTGTATCTATTGACCCCTCCTGAGAGGTCAATTAATAGTTAAGAACCGTTTGAATGTCACAAAACGAAACCAAAAACCGGAATACCCTCCACTTCGCGCCGCTCCCCGTGTGGCCTGCTGCCGCAATTTGTTTAATGGAACTTCAATGAGTTCTTGGCTTTGGCTAATTAACTCCACTGCCAGATGCAATCCGAATCTGAATCCGAGCCCGAACCCCAACCCGTACCCGCACCCGCACCCGCACCCGAACCGATCTCTGCCTTCGATGGGGCTTACAGCTTTTAATTGTTATGCATTCCCCACACACACACACACAAACACACACGCACAGAAGAAAATATTCCAATTTCCAAGATCCGCAGTGACCAGATCTTTGGAGATCTGTTCTGTTCTGTTCTGTTCCGTTCCGTTCGAAGTGCAGAATACAACTGTTGCCTCCCCAGAGGCGATGCCGCCAGTTGTTGTATTTTTGTTTCAAAGGTTTTTCTTCTATTAAATACGGTTCAAATACGGAAAAGATCGTAGAACTACGTCGGAGTCGGCGTCTGCGTCGGCGTCTGCGGATCGGCAGTGGGTTCTCCCTCCGACTCTGACGAAAGTCTCTTTCTATTAATTTCAATTGAATTTTGAATTGATTTTAGCAGCCTGGCGGCCCAAGGTTTTCCTCATTCCTCATTCCTCATTCCACGTGCCATAAGGTGTGGTCCCCCACCCCCACCCCTCCCGCTCCCCCTTCCAAAAAAATCTACTATAGATTTATAGATCGGTGGAAATAGGTCACGGAATTTGCATTCCATCAATTCGTTGATTTCTTGCGTCCTATAAATATGATCTCAACTGTCTCCAGAGACAGCACTTTTATGGGGAATGAAGGAAGATCTGTTCTGTTATCAAATGGAACGTTTATGGAACGCCCCGGGCGCACGGTCCCACGGTCGCACGGTCGTACGTACGTTAATGGTCTTACGTATCCGTATAATTAAGATTAACATGCCATTGACCATGACACCATGCCACTCCTCCACAGAGTGCCACTCGTGTGGCGCTACGCTCCTCTTTGATGACAGATATCCATGCCATAAAGAGCTCTCTAAAGATTTCGCTTCCTTATCGCTCCGAATGAAAGATAGCAAAAAGCAGTTTGTGGGTCTCGTGTGGAAAAAGGTTCTTCAAATGGAAGAAACTCTGGAACGACACGCGACACGCTCGCAGGACCTGTGGAGCGGAGCGCCCGGGATCTCCGTGTCCACCCAGTCGGGTCCCATAACCCCCCCTAACCCTCAATGCAGCCCCAGATGTCGTCCCAGATGTCGTTCTAGCCCGCTGTAGAAGTTGCAACTGCGACTTCGGAATTTAATTTCTCTAATTGGAGATTGTATTTCGCATTATATTAATTAAAACCAATTTCCAAATACTTTTTTACTTTGTATTTTATGGAAAGTTACCCAATTGAACCAATTGAGAGATAATTCCGTCAACTTTGATGCGAAAGCCCGTCTTTTCCCTTACTCTTTGCCCTCAAGAGATTCACCTCGAAGTGTCTGCAAAAGTCTATCCAAAAAACATCCCATTACGGCTTACGGAACGCACGTCAGAGGCCTCTGACCTCGGGGCCTTTGAAAATGAATTCTCAATACTTCATATAGGCGTACGAGTATCGCCACAGATAGTCCCGCCCGATCCGCAGGGCTGTGCCGCCACCATCTCCGATTTCAGTGCCATATCCTTTTGGCTTGTACTCGTATCCTTGGGGCCATTCGTACATTCGACTGTTCCCATTTTGCTGCACACAGATTTCAATTCGTGCGACTGGCGGAGCAGGTCCAGGCTCAGGGGGAGCCCCTTCTTCCCTGTGCCACCTCGTGCCCTCTGGGACAGATCGCCGCTGCAGAGAGCTGGCCAGGAGACCAGGACAGGGGCTCGTCCCTAGGGCGCTTCAGCCCGTTTGCGTGGGTCCTTGCTCCCTTTTCTGGCAGTAAGAGTATACTGGAATACGTGGAATGCTGTCGTGTTTTGTTAATTGTGATATTATTTATTTATTAAAATGCAAAAAAAAAGTCCTGCTTAAAAAAGAAAATGCTATACGCGATGCGCGATACGCGGCAAGCGTGAATCTCTTGGATATTGGGATACAAGTTGCAGTGAATATATGTTCTCCGGCGATCGTTTGCTCCGGAAGGCGCGGCCTCGTCGGCGCCTCAGTGATCCTTCTGGGTTTTGTGGAGCTTCGCGTAGATGCCGCGCTGGGAAATGAGCTCCAGGTGGGTGCCCTGCTCCACCACGCGGCCGTTCTGCACCACGCAAATGCAGTCGGCGTTCTGGACGGTGGACAGGCGGTGGGCGATGACAATGCATGTGCGTCCGCTGCACGCGGAGTCGAGGGCCTGCTGCACCAGCTGCTCGCTCTGCAGGTCCAGGGCCGAGGTGGCCTCGTCCAGGAGCAGGATCTTGGGGTTCCGCACCAGGGCCCGGGCAATGGCGATGCGCTGCTTCTGCCCGCCCGACAGCTGGGTGCCGCGGGCCCCCATCCGCGTGTCGTAGCCGTTCGGCAGCGAGATGATGAAGCTGTGGGCATTGGCGCTCTTGGCGGCGGCCATCACCTCGGCCATCGAGACGGAGCGACGGTTGTCCCCGTAGGCGATGTTCTCCGCGATGGAGCGCTCGAAGAGGGTGGGCTCCTGCGAGACGATGCCGAGGCGGGAGCGTACGCCCTCGAGGGTCAGATCGTGCTGGATATCATCGTGGTCGATGTGCTGTGCAGCGGTGGGGGGAGAGAGAGAGGAAGGTATCTGTAGAATGAGTATCTATGGCGATGAATGGATCCCTTACGATGGATCCCTCATCCGGGTCGTAGTAGCGTTGCAGCAGCTGCACGCAGGTGGACTTGCCGCAGCCGGAGTGCCCCACCAGGGCCACCGTTTGGCCCTTGAGCACCTCCAGATCCAGGCCCTGGAGAATCTTGGCATCGGGTCGCGTCGGATAGCGGAACTCAATGCCGCGGTAGCGCACGCCCTCGAAGAGATTCAGTTGCTTGGCGAGGGTGTTCCGGATGGTGCCCATGGGCGAGACGATCCTGGGCCTGCGGTCGAGGATCTGGAAGAGGCGGTGCCCGGCCACGAGGGCCGCCGAGAAGGCGGGGGTGAAGGCCAGCGATTGGGCGAGCATCATGGAGCCATAGAGCAGGGTTTCCGAGACCCTGCCAAAGGAAGGGAGAAGCCGTTAGGAGGAAGGAGCAGAGGAGCGGCCGATGCCGGGGCCGGGGCCGGGACCCTCACTTGATGATGTCCTGGAAGGGCAGCTGTCCCTCGGAGACCAGGACGCCGCCGTAGCAGAGGGCCACCGCGTAGGCGAAGAACGCGGACGCCTGCATCGTGGAGTTGAGGACGCCCCGCCAGCGCAGCTTCTGGTGGATGAGGCCCTCCACCCGATGGATCTCCTGCGTGTACTGCCGAATGACGTCCGCCTCCCGCCGGAGCCCCGCCACAGTGCGGATGTTAGTGATGGATTCGGTGGCAATGCGACAGGCCTCCTCAATGACTTGTTTCTCCCTCACGATGGCGGTGGACATCATCCTAGCGAAACGAGTGGGGTTGCGAATGGAATGAATCGAGTGAATCGAGTGAATCGAGTGAATCACGTGATCCGCGGAATCACGGACGGGAGACATACTTGGCTTCCAGGATGACTGAACCGACGATTATCGGACAATTGGCGAGGCAGAGGAGCGCCAGCTTCCAGTTGTAGTACATGGCGACGGTGACGCTCGAAGTGAAGTTGGAGAGGGCCTGGATCATGCCGCTCAGGGGATACCCAATGGCACCCTGCACGCCCGCTGCCTCCCCCGAGAGACGGGCGGACAGGGCGCCCACGGAGTTGTCCTCGTCGTCGAACCACCCGACCTCCTGGCTGACCATCGCCTTGAAGGTCATGGCCCTCATTCGGGTCGTCAGCCAAATGCCCGCGTAGTTGAACAGATACGTCTGCAGGAAGCACACGAGTCCCGTGACGAAGGCGAGGCCCAGGCACGCCCACGAGAGGACTGCGGTGCGGCTGAGGGCGTCCTCCGGGTCCTGTTCCGCGAGTGCGGCGTAGAATTCACCGAAAATGATGGAGAACGCCGGATAGAGGCAGCCGACGGCAATGGCACTGATTGTCCCGAGGACCAGGTAACACCATTCGGGGCGGGAGAGCCGCACGATCCGCGCGAAGGTGTGGAAGAAATTGGGCTTCTCTGCGGCGGTGGCAGCGTCCTGCAGCTTGAGTGCGTTGCTGTCCTTCGGGAGGGGCTTCACGATGGGCTCGTCGAACTGCACGCTGTTCTCCTTGTGGGCACCCTTTTCAAAGTTCAAAGGACTCGTCTCGAAGGACTTCTCGAGGAGTGCCAGGCTTTTGCCTGGAAAGGGATTGAAATGTTATTGAAATGCTTGCGAGAACTGGAGTCCATGGAACTGAATGCCCAGTCGAATATACCCTCGGAGGTACACGGTACATTTTCTTTCGTTTCATTTACAAAAGTCTCGGCAGAACGAAAGAGAGAGCAATAGGGAACAAGTGGCTGCTAAAATTATTTATTATTTATTGGTGCGCCCTGCATCCTCCCGCCTCTCCCGCACACGCACTGGCGACACATCAGTCGATTAGCAGAAGCCCATGTTAATTGCAAAAACAATTTTGCATCGTTTCCCTTTTCGGCATCGCCTTCGCTGTCGCTGTCGCCGTTGCAGTCGCCGTCGCCGTCGGCAAGGCAAAGGCAAAGCCCCATAAAGTGAGTTGTTTGTCTGCTTCTCTGTGCGAGAACTACTCCCCTCCCACAGTAGCCCGCCCAATCAAGTATGAGGTTTGTGTGTGTCGCCGAGCCGAGGCGATCACCCGAACTGATTTCGGAAACCAATGTCCCTCTTCGGCTTCTCGACGCAGCGGCTGCGCGGCAGCGCGCTGGCGAGTCTCATGTTTGTGTGGAATATTTTCGCGCCAGTAAGTCCCGAGTTGTTTCTTGTTGTTGTTTTTTTTTTCAGAGAGACATGCAGAAGGGAGTTTTATGGTTTTACGGATTTGAATGGTATTTTTGCTCGCCTGCTAGTAGTATTTTCCTAACTGTGACTCCTCTGGGGACTCTCCACTGTATCTGTCTCCTTCCTGTGTCTCTCCTTCTGCCGTACTTACGTTTGGCGTCATCGATGGTCGTCTCTTCGTCCTCCGTTTGCAGCTCGTCGGGCATGTGGATGTCCCCGGCACGCACCATTCGGTAGTATGCGGACTCCAGGGCCATCAGATCGTCGTGCGAGCCCTCCTCCAGGACCTTGCCGTCCTGGATGAAGACAATCTTGTCGGCCCCGCGAATGGCGGACAGACGATGCGACACCACAATGGTGGTGCGTCCCTTGCTGGCCAGATCCAGGGCCTGTTGCACCTGCTTCTCCGATTGGTAGTCCAGGGCGGACGTTGCTTCGTCCAGCAGCAGGATTTTGGGGTTTTGGATGAGTGCCCGGGCGATGGCAATGCGCTGCTTCTGTCCGCCCGACAGCTGGGATCCCCGCTCCCCGATCATTGTGCGATAGCTCTATGGGTGGGAGGGGGACGTGGACGTGGATGTGGATGTCGATGTCGATGTCGATATCGATGTCGATATCGATGGGGTGTCACTCACCTCTGGCAGTCCCGTGATGAATTCGTGGGCCCCCGCCTGGGTGGCAGCTGCCTCGATCTCCTTCTGGGTGGCCCCCGGCTTGCCGTAGCTGATGTTTTGGGCAATGGTTCCCAGGAAGAGCACCGGCTCCTGGCCCACCACCGCGATGTTGGAGCGCAGCCACTGGATGTTGTACTTGCGGATGTCCAGGTCGTCGAGCATCACGGAACCAAAGACGGGATCGTAGAACCTCTGCAGAAGCTGCACGCACGTGGACTTGCCACAGCCGGAGGAGCCCACCAGAGCCACCGTTTGCCCCGCGCGGATCCTGATGTTCAGGCCCCGATGGACGGTGACCTCGGGGCGGGAGGGATACCGGAAGAAGACATCCTGGAACTCCACGTCGCCCCGCAGGCCGTAGTTGAGGAGCTTTCCATCCGTCGAGAGGGGATCGATCTTGGACTGGAGGTCAATGACCTTGAAGAGGTTGGTGGCACACCCACGGGCGGTGGCGAAGGACTCGAGGAAGGGCGCTGTCCGGGCGATGTTGTCCGCCCCCACAATGATGCCGAAGAAGGCGATCATCAGGATGGCAGGAGTGTACTCCTTGTCCTCCACTCCGCGGTCGTCGATGATCAGGTTGACGCCGTACCAGAAGGCGCCCGCACACGACAGGTACAGCATGGACTTGAGCAGGGCTTCGCTGAGGCCCGAGAAGGCGCCCTTCCACTGACTGGCCTTCCGCGCGGGCACCAGGAAGTTCTCGTAGCGCTGCACCTCCGCCTTCTCCCCGCCAAAGGACACGACCGTGCGAATGGCACTGAGGATCTCCTCGGCGAGGTTTCCCGCCCCCGCATACGATTCCTGCTCTCTGGCCGTGAGTTTTCCTTGAAACTAGCAAAAGATACAAATGTATCTGCATCTGAATATCTGCGTATCTGTGCATCTGTGCGCCTCGGATCTCACCTTTGCCACATAATAATTCACGAGGATCACGATGGGAATGTAGGAGCTGACGGCGAGCGTCAGCTTCCAGCCGTAGCTGAAGGATATGGCCACCGTGATGATGAAGCCCACAATCAGATAGACGAAGTGTCCCACCTTCTCGGAGATGCCGTCGCGTATCTTCTCCACGTCACTGGAAGGGCAGAAGCAGAAGCAAAGGCAAAAGCAATGAGCACACTCGCTGGCGGGACTCCTCTGGCGGGGACTCACTCGACCATGCTCTGGACGAAGTTCTGCTTGCTCGCGAGGTCGTGCCAGCCAATCTCCTGCCGCATCACCGAGGTGAAGAGCATGATCCGCATGCGCGAGACCTGCCGCAGGGCCACCACGTTGAAGATGTCCACCGAGAAGATGCCAGCTATGAACATCACCACCGATGCGATGGTCAGCAGCAGGCCGTACGAGATGGAGTCGTCGTAGAGGGCCTCATTCCTCACCGCCAGAGTGGCGTTTGTGCTGCAGGGGAAAACGGGAGAAGAACGGAAGAAGAGAGAAGAGCGGAAAGAGCTTTGTAGATCAGCCTCTACGGATAGGCGGATAGGCAGGTCCTCCTTCGACTTACAGCGACTTTCCGCCCCCGAAGAGGGGCAACGCGTGGACCTTCGAGCTCGTCCCGAACTCCATGGCCCGGTCCACCAGCATCGACGTGAACTCGCTGTAAATGATGACCACTGCGGGCAGGGTCAACGCCTTGACGCAGCACATGAGGAACCCAAAGAAGAGCCACGCGATCTCCCCGCAGGTGGAGAAGCGGAAGAGCTGCAGGAAGCCGATCGGCTGTGTGGGCTCCAGTCCTGCGGCTACCGGCGCCTCATCCAGGGACTTGCCATCGGTTGTCGTCGTGCCAGAAGCCTCGTCCATCTATCGGTACGACGAAGGACGGAGGAATAGTGTTAATCGAGCCAAGACCCGCGATTTATTCACGGACACAGACACGGACACAGACACAGACACGGACACGGACAGAGACAGACGGCACGCAAAGGTTAATTCAATTACTGCCACACTCTCAGAGGCATGTATCTGTATCTGTGGCTGTGGCTGTGGCTGTGGCAAGGGTACAGCAGCTACTTTGTATCTTTTGCCATAGTTCTCTCTCATTGACCCGCGGGGTTAACGAGTAATAGAATCTACCGTTTATTATTGGACATTCCAACGCCAATTTGGAGCGATTCGATTCGATTCGAATCAGAGGCCCGTACAGAAATCTGTGTGGCGCCATTCGCCCCCTGGCCCCTGCCCCCTGCCCCCTACCCACTCTCCTTGTCGTGGGATGGATGATCACCTTTTAATTGATTTTCAACACTTTTTGATCCTTGAGATACTGTATCTATGCACTGATTTCTGCAGAATATCCGTTACTGCTCACTCGGACCGCCCAAGCGCGACTGCTGGAACACCGTCCGCGGAGCCACCCATTTATGTTGATTCCCCGATGTGGATGCTGGACAGAGTACTCGGGCTCGGGCTCGGGCTCGGACTCGGGCTTGGGCATGAGTACTCGTGAGTGTATCGTATCAATCGCTCGCTGTGGGGTTCACAATTCTAATTGATCTCCGCTTTCCGCTCTTGGGGTAGGTTCCGCCGAAAGAGGCGCTTCAATTTACAATGAGAGCAAAAGAGACATTCTGTAGAGGATTTTTCTTTTCTTTATTCTTTTTCTTTAATTTTGTACGAGAAATGCATTCGGGAAGGTGGAGGGTGGAAGGTGGAGCGTGGAAGGTGGAGGGTGGAAGGTGCAACAATCTAAAACGGAGGCAGACTCTTGAGCCTCCCAAGGTGTTGCGCACCTTCAGGCAGCGCTTCTGCTGCGTCTCGAGAACGGTGGGCCTCGACTTTGCGATGGTCTGCGATGGCGCCTGGGAGCCAGTGGTCGGCTTCAAGCTGGGCTGCTGGTGGCTGGGCTGCTGGCGGCTGGGTACCTCGTACCTGGTACCTGGTACTGTGTAGTCCATCAAGGAAACATGCGCGTAGAAGATCCTTCGCTCCACGTTCAAGGTAAGGAATGAATCCCTTGCGGAATACCTGTGGATCTTTAACATGTGCAATCTCTGCAGACTTTGGGGTTTTCCTGCCGGCACCCGACTGGCTGGCACCCAAAGCGCGTCCTCCAACGATCACGGGCCGAGAAGAGGCATGGGGCCAGGCAGGTATGATCCCCCGACATACATGATCCCTCGTGCCTACAGGTGTACAACAAGCAGGAGTGCTGGGAGGCAGCTATGAAGCCACCCCAGAGGGTCTGTAAGAGCTGTAAATCCATCTACGCGCAGAATAACCCAAGTGCTTCGCCATTTCCCGTTCCACGGCTATAACTTTCGAGGGGATAAGAACTCAAATCTGTTTTAGCTGTTCCAACAGGTGTTGGAAGTGAGAGAGTTACGGACAGTTGCAGACAGTTACGGACAGTTACGGATAGTTATGGTATAGTTCTGGTATTGCACAGCCTTCGCTATAATATTGGACTATTTCCTATTTCCTGTCTATACTCCATCCGGGTTTCGATATTAAATCAGTCATTAATTTGTATGCAAAAGATGTCAAATCCAAAGAGATTTCCATTCCATATCGATGGTCGACATCTATCGGTATCGTGGAGGGAACGTGCGCTTGAGGGAACAGTTTAGTTCTCTTAGTTTGTTCGTCAATTTAGTAAGAAATAAAACCCAGAAACCCCAAACCTAGTGGCACGGGATTATTTGTGGATTCCTTCGAGCGTTTGCTCGCAGTTTATTCGCAATTTGTTCGCTATCGCTTAACTATCGAAAAGTGCTCGTGCTTCTAGAACCAGTTCCAGATTTAATGTACTCTTTTTTTTGTTTCTGTTAAGTAAATTTGATTTTATTTCAGTTTAAAGTTTAAAATTACCAAAAAAAAAAAGAAATAATGAAAATTCTTCATCTGCCTCGTCGATCATCTGTATCTGTATCTGTACAAAGGAGCCTAGAATTTCTTAGATCTGTGTTCTTCTACCATCCTCTACATGGAGTTACATGGAGTTCCACATTAATCCTAAAGATGCACAAATTTTATAGCTTGAACAAACAAAAAACAAAAAAAAACACATACAATAATCGCATATCACATATTATGTTTTTTGGGGCGGGTGGGGAGAGGGGGAGAGGGGGGGGTGTTCCAAAGTATTTACACGGTCCAATGTTTGCACGGGTAATATTTAGTGGAGATTCTCTTGGTAAAGATTTTATTCGTAATTTATTCGCCCAACTATCGAGAAATACTCGCGTGTGCCGTACGATATTACGATCCATGACGCTACGATCCGTCTGTGGGCTATATATGTATGTGTGTATATTGATGTGTGCATATGTATGTACAATCCGAAGAGAGGATTACTCTTGTTTTGTTCTCTTTCCTAGATGATAATATCGTATCAGTGGTTCTGGAAGGGGGTGCTTAATCCTACGACGAAAGCTATAATCCAGTGGATGGGTCGGAGTAGGTGTCCTGTTCCTCCGCTCAGACATAGACCTCTCCTGTCTTGGCCTCGGGACTGTGTTTGGCGAGGGTTGAGGGAGCACTCGTGGCCGTTGCCGTTGCCGTGGCGCCGCTCTGGGGCAGGCCGATCGCGCCACCGGATGAAGAGTTGTCCACTGTATCCACTGTGGGGGCTCCTGCCGAACGCACCGAGGAGCGCACTGTGGGGTCCTGCAGGTTGAAGCTCAGACTGAAGCTGTTGTTCCGCGAAATGTTGCCGTTGCCGTTGCCGCTGCCGCTGCCGTTCAGGGGCTTCACGGACAGGAGGGCCGTGGTGGTGATGCCGCCGCCGCCGCCCGCTCCCGGTCCCACGGTCATGCCGTTGCTGGAGCCACTGTTGCTGTAGCCGTCCTGATCCTGGGCCAGGTCCACGATGGACAGGGACGAGGGGGAGCGCTGAATGGAGAGCGAGACGGGGATCGTGGTGATGACGTCATTGGGCTCGTAGCCACTGGCCGTTGTCGTGATGGTCGGCAGCTGGGCGTTCGCCGCGATGGGAAGGATGCTCAGCGTCCCCGTGGGAATGGTGTCCCCGCCGCCGCTGCTGTTGGCCATCGTGAAGGGAAACGACAGCGTGGTGATGTTCGTGGCAGCGGAGAGGGCTACGGAATCGAGAATCGAGAATCGAGGGGAGAGAGATTGTGGTTAGAGTATCTGAATCTGCATCTGCATCTGCATCTGCGGGAGTATCTGTGCCCGGGTACTCACTGCTGACTGCTGGAAAGCCATCCTTCATGTTGATGGCCTGCGCCAGGGCCGCTGTGGCTGGGTGTCCTGGAATCAGAGTGTTATTCGATGAGGAGCTGTCCATCTCTTTGATGGGCGACAGGAGGAGGGTGCCCAGCACCTGGCCGCCGCCATCGTGCCCCAGATGCATGCCCCCTCCCATGCCCATGCCCATGCCCATCCCCATCCCCATGCCCATGCCCATGCCCCCGATTCCCCCCATTGCCCCCATTCCCGTACTGGTGCTCGTGGTGTTGGTTGTGGTGTAGGAGGAGGGGTACATGTGGTGCGCCCCTCCCTGTGCCTGTTGCGGGGGCTGCTGTGGTGCGCTTTGGTGTTGTGATGGCGCCATAATGACGGCACTAGAGGCTACAGTGGATACGGATACACAATACGGTGCATGAGTGGGGTGCTCGGAGATGGGGAGGGGGGGGAAAGACGCATGCCACTCACCTGGATTCGTGCTGCCGTCTTTTGCCACCTCCGGAGTGGGGATCCGCGGCCGTGTCTTGGCCACATTCACATTCAGGCCATTTAGCTTTGAATCTAATGAATAAACGTGAATCATTTGACATTCATTTGTGAAGCATACTTTTGGGGTCATGTATCTGTATCTGTATCTGTATCTGCATCTGCAGATGCATCTGTACCGCGGTAGATACTCACTTTGCTTTATCAACTGCCTTTGGGCGCGTATCGACTTGCGATGCACAAACTTCCCGTAGAGGCTCGACTTCTGCTGCGACTGGGAGCCCCCCATCGACGGGAGCTGCTGCTGCTGGTGCTGCTGCTGCTGCTGCTGTTGGAGCTGCTGCTGCTGGAGGATCGTCAGGGGCAGGCCCGACTCGGGGCTGGAGTAGACCGAGTTGAGGCGATGCCGATTGAACGGCATGCCGCCCGAGGAGTAGGCCGTCGATTGGCTCCGCATCGAGCCCATGCGCGACAGCTGCCGCACGAGCCAGTTGTTCTTCCGGCGCTCCACCATCGGCGTGTCGACACTCTCCTGCAGAGCGCGCACAGGGTGTTGTATTGGGGTATTGCAGTGTGCTGCAGGATATTACAGGGTACTCACGTAGTCCGCATAGACATCGTCGCTGAGCATTCGCTTGCCTGCGCCGCCGCCGCCGGGCATTATGTTCGCGTACATCGCGTCCTCCTTCTTCACCTTGTACTTCTCCGCGGACCCCTTGGGCTCGTCCTTGCGGTAGTGCTCGGAGGCCACCGTGTAGGGCAGGTCCTTGGGGACGACGCACTCCCAGTACTGGTCGCGCAGCAGCTCCGGATGCTCCTCGTGCATCTCATCGACAATCATGTAGGCGGCCTACGAATAAATACGATCGTAAATGGTTCGTTAATGTATCGTAAATGTATCGTAAATGGTTCGTTGATGTATCGTAAATGTATCGTAGATGGTTCGTTAATGTATCGTAAATGTATCGTAAATGTATCATAAATGGTTCGGCCTACGAATAAATACGATCGTAAATGGTTCGTTAATGTATCGTAAATGCATCGTAAATGGTTTGTGTCATGTATCGTAAATGGTTCGTTAATGTATCGTTGATGCATCGTAAATGTATCGATCCCAATCAATTCGCGATCAAAAGTGGAACAGATCAGTCGAGTGGTAGATATATGGAAATCAGGAGTGGTGGTGGTGGTGGTGGTGGTGGTGGTGGGGCACGTGCTTCCCATTTCTGATGGCATTTCAAGTGGAGAAAGAGAGAGAGAGAGAGAGAGAGCGGGAGCGGGAGAGGGAAAGGGAGAGCGAAAGAGAGAGGAGGCGGCACTGAGACCTAATTACATCACAAAAAAAATAAATAAAAGCAAAAACATATTAATGCCAATCCACTGTTTTGTGTGTTGTTTTTATTGTTGTTCCACTTTTGAAACAAAAGAAAAAGTGAAATTGTTGATAAGTTTTTTTTATGGTTTTTTTTGTTAATTTATTTCATAATTCCAGGCCGCACTTCAAAAAACACACACAAAAACCCAAGTGCTCGGCTCTTCGCAGCCCACAACAGCAGATAATTTTATTTGCAAAGATATTACAAATTGTAGCGTTAAAAAGAGACATCGAGAGGGAGAGAGTGAGAAAGGAATGCTCTGCCTTGCGGATCGATTATTGCCTCTGATTGGGGCAGAGTTTGTAGAACGCACAGAAAGCGACTGCCCAGATGTTGGATTTGGATGCACCTCCTCCCTGGCTGTGCTCATCCGAGATGGATACTTGTTGATGTCCGCCCTGCAGGGCTCGGCATAAACAGCCCTGAAGGATCCCCACTGATCCAGCACATTCAAGGACCGTGGAAAATACTGTGGACTCTGTTTATGAAATAGTAATATCCAGGGCTTGGGGCATCCATGAGTTATCTTCAGAAAGACCAAAGTTATTCTCCCAAATAGTCCCAATTTTTGAAATGACTGATCGTCCTTGGTCCTATCTATAAGCTGCCTCGGGCTGCGGGCACCTCGATTCTCGAGGACTTTAGAGTCCCCTGAGCATAGCCCCCATCCAGGATCCGTGCATGGTTTATGCCATAGATCTCTCCGACTCGAAGGAGAGACTAAGACTTTCTAAGGGCTGTATATTGGTAGGACACATAGACAGGGTTTATGGGGTGGCCGAAGGTGGCTCTCTGTGTGGGCAACCATCTGTTCCGAAACAATTTGTTGGGGTAAATAAAAATAAAAATATGAATACAAAAATGTACGAGTGTTACTCATTTGTTTAATCATTTCGTGGTGCTCTGTTTTTCCATTTTTTTCCATTTTTTTCTTCTATTTATGGGCACACGTCAATCGTCAAAGCCTCAAACCGTTAACCGTTAACCGTTAACCGTCAAGAGTCACGTTTTGGTGGGGGTGTGGGGTGCGATAGGTGCGAAATAGGCCACGAAATAGATGGGATGGGAGAATGGTAGAAGTATTTTGCAATAACAATAACCTCCCTCCCCCTCCCTCCCTCTCTCTCTCTCTCTTGGGTGATAAGCGAAGCATTTAAGCGTTTTCTTGGATATGCATTTCTCCCTCCATTCCATGCCATCCCCCTCTTCCTCCACCTGCACCCCCTGCCCCACACTCTTGATTCTCCACTGAAATTTCGGAGTTTAAGCCATAAAAAGACACACACACACACACACACACACACACACACTAGTAGTCGTACTCGTACGAAAAACAAAAACAAAATTCAATGATAAAAGCGCTCTACAAAAGAGGTTTCAATGTTTTCAGTTTTTAAACGAAACAAAAACAAAAACAAAAAACAAAATACAAAATACAAAAAAAAAACCTGTTTTCAATTTGTTGTTGCCGCTGCTGGCGGCTCGGCTCGGCTCGGCTCGGCTGCTGGATTTTTGTAAATAATTGCAAGCAACAAAACAGCGGCCCACAGCAGACCCCCACACAGATACGCGCGCGCACACAGATGCAGGTTCAGATACAGATGCAGATACAGGTGGTGCAGGCGTGGTAGGGGCGGACGGGGGCGGATGAGGGCACACTGCAGACAGCATTTGTGGATACAGAGATACAGATATGCAAAAACAGAGCTTTAAACCGAAGTCAAACGTTCCAGAAAATACCCCAGAGAACCGGGGGCGGAGGGTCGGAGGGGCGGAGGGGCGGAGGGGCGGCGAGGTGGAATACTGGATCTTTGGAACGGAACGAGATACGAGATTAGCGAATATTCATCTAAAAACAAGCGATACACCGCAGAGTAGGGAATTTTTCTTCTTGGAGGAGACTCTCCAGCGACTCTCCAGCGACTCCCAGCATCCTTCGGAGGAGTAATGCGGCCCACCTCAGCCGTTCGTCCATGGATTTCTACAACCAAATACCTTAAACGACGCCCAATGAATGCACCTTTACGGAAAAATGTATCACAAAATAAGAAACTATTTTTTTCGACTTTTGCTGGGTTTTTAAAGTATTCATTTTGAACAATTAACTACCCCAAAAAAAAAAAGGTATAATTGTAGAGCCTCAAGTCTATCAGAAAAAGCCAAATCGATCAGAAAGAGGAGATCATTATTCATTAGTCTGCGGTTGCGGGTTGAGATCGGAGACCAGAGACTGGAGATCGGAGACCGGAGACCGGAGGCTTGGGATCGGGTCGGGTATGGATCGGCTTGGAAACACTTGACATGTTCGGTGCGATGAATCGAATACACCCCTGTTAGTCGATGGTCGATAGTCGATAGTCGATCGTTCATCGAATACCACATTAAATCAAATGGAAATTTATATTTGCTTTGGCCACGATCTTAAGTTGGCACACAAACACATTTCTCGGATATGTACAAGGATTTCCACACATTAATAAAGATTTATACACGACAGAAAGACAGACAGATAGACAGAACCAGAACTAAAGATAGATTTATGCATAGATCGTATGATCGAGAGGAGTCGGAAGAGAATCTCTGGAGCAGCAGTTTCTCGCCCGATTATCGCAGAGATAATCCCCCTTTGCCCCTTTTTTTTGACTCTTTTTTTGCAGCACGCTAACCCAATTAGCAGAGTCTCGAAAAAGGCCAAGATCCGAGCAGTCATGATACTTGGAAACGCTCATAATTACGGATATAATTGTGCTCTCAGACTCGGACGCGGAGTGAATGGTTTGTTGTTAAGTATCTGATGGATACACGGATGTGGATGTGGATGTCGATGTGGATGTGCCTTGTCCCGCCCCAAGGTCTTTGTGTCTTAATTGCAATTAAGGTTTCTGTTTCATTTGAAAATTCTTTCGGTTTAATTTGGAAATCGGTGGCTTAAAATTTAATTTAATTTAAATTTCTCTCAAGTTTATGTTAAATAATTTTAACTGGCAGTTGGACAGGTTTTCAGCCGTTTCATTTGGGGGGTGGGGGGGATTTTGTTGCTCATAATTTAATGAAAATATCACGTATACGCCGCGGGGATTATTTATATATTGAAGATTGCTTATTAGAGATTTTTCATGTCGAGCCATGAAACACCTTGTGCCTCGTCTCTGTGTGCGTGACTCACCTTTATGTGGCGATCGATCAGCCAATTGAGTTCTATATCATCGTCATCCTCGCCAAAGGGGTTGATCAGCACCTCGGCCACCTTCAGCCAGCCCACATAGAAGACGAACTGCAAGGGAGAAGGGGAAGGGAAACACGATTAAATCGAATCAGATACCAGCCCCACAGCCCCACAGCCCCACAGCACCACTCTCCTGCCTTCTCTCGATACCTTTTCGCGCGAAAACAGTATAAATTAAATGGGCTAAACACTTGTCTATCCATCCGTCTATCTGAAGCAACTTTGGGGGAAAAGTATTTCTCAGACGTGACCGCGAATCGTTTACATAAGAAGGCAAGTGGCAGGCGGCAGGCAGGCGGCAGGCAGGCGTCGAGCACTTGAAATCTGTCCAGAGAGAAAAACCCACAGAAACCGCAGAGCAGAAACAGCCTTTGTAGCTGGCCGAATATCATGATATCTACAGATAGATAGACAGATCTATATGTATCTGCAGTGCACACTGCACTCCCCAGCGAGAGGGTATCGTATCGGCATCCTCCGTATCGGTGACAAGGTATCGCCATTACATTTGGCGGTAGCCAGGGCTGGCCCGGCCTGGCCCACAGTTTCAGTTACATTTACGTTAATGAGCCACAAATTAAACAAAAAAAATAACAATAATAAGCGGGGGGAAAAAAACAAACAGAAAGCAGAGAAACAGAGAAGCAGAGAAACCGCAACAAGTTTTTGTTTAATATTTGTACAAAACGTCAACGAGACGTGCAAAATTGTTAAAGATTTATGGCTTAAATAAAGCGGAACGTGCAAATTATAAGCAAATAACTTCTAAATGCTCTTTGAGAATTTTGAATTTGAGAATTGAACGCGACATGCAGCAGGGGCCATCGGTTGGGATGTTGGGGGGAAAACTCACCTGCAGGACGGTGAAAAGCGGGAAGTACAAATCGGGGTCCTCGCGTCCATTGCGATCCAGGACGTTCGGGAGCATTTGTCGCCCCAGAAGGGCGGCAATAAAGTAGGTATACAGCACGAGGGTGACCACCTGTGAAGAGCATCTCGTAAGCGGCAGAAGGAGTCGTTAGAGAGAGAGGGGGGGGCCCCCCCCCTGCGTATCGTACCTGCGTATAGACCAAAGGAACACAGACCGTGTCGTAGCCGATGAGGCCACCCAGACGCCTACGAATATCCGATAGTTCGACCAGAATCGTCTGCACGATGTGGTCGGAGGCGATGAGGCCGTCCTTTCGCGCCCGATTGATGATGTTCGTGGCCCAGACGAGCGGCATCCAGTACTTGGACATGGGGCTCTTGGCGTTCAGGGCCTCGAAGATCTTCATCTCGGACTCGTGCATGAGGCCGGCGTCCACCAGGTGCTGGGTGGTGGGGAAGCGCCGCTTCACACGCAGCGAGATGCGCTGCAGAGTGATGACGTAGGCCAGGACCATGTACCGCATGATATTCCTGCGCATCAGGCGACCCGTTTCGTTCTGAAGGGACCAAGGGATTAATATTGATACACTCTCGCTGTCTGTGGCGCTTACGTTTACTCCGCCGTTGGCATTGGAGATGGCGGCGCTGATGAAGAGGGCCAGCGTGTCGGGCCAGGGCAGCAGGCGGTACTGTTCCCACCAGCGTTTCACCACGAGGTTCACATAGAAGCCGAGCACGAACGACATGGGTATGCTCTCGCCCTGCTGTCCGAAGTACTGCCGGATTTTGTTGAAGATCCTGCCCCACCAAGGAGAGAGAGTAGAGAGATTATCAGTGGCCCAGAGACGCCCGGAGAAGCCCGGAACGGGGACAATACTCACGCCTGTTGGTTGGCGGTCAGGGCGAATCTATAGATAACATTTATGGTGTAGTAGAGGCACAGATACGCGACCAATTCGCGCCAGATCAGTTTGTAGACACTGCCGCGCCATCTGCAAAGAGGGGAAGGTATTGGGTATTACTGGATCGATGGAGTTCGATGGAATATCTTTGAGCTTTGACGATGATTTCCTCATTCAGTATAACCCCCTCCTACCCTGGTATTTGTTCACTATTTTTCATGCTTAATGGATGATGATGATATTATAAGCTTGCATGTCGCTTCCAATGAATTCTAATGGGGTTGGGGCTTGGGGCTGGGGTTGGGGGATGGCCTTTCGATGGTGTTTGTCTGTGAATCGAAACACGCTTTTGAAACTGGTCTAACTCCCCCCCCGCCCCGCCCCAATGAGGGTCTTTCGGGGTCTTTGTTCTGTTCTGTTCTGCTTGTTTTGATCCAAGGTCCCTCTGTGATCTGTTGCTTAAAAGGCCTCAAGGAGAGATTAACTATTAAAACTATTAAAAAAAGAAAAAACATGTTTTAAAACGCACATTCCTAGCATCAGAGAATCGAATCGGAATCACTTTTTGGGCCCCATGGACCGATGGCCCGATGGCCCGATGGCCCTACCGTTTCGACGGTTACGAGTGAGTGCACTTTCGGGGAAACAATTAATGCAAAAAACCTCTCGAATAGCAGATGTTGTGGAAGCGGAACTGTCGCTGTCGCTGTCGCTGTCGCCATGGCGATTGTTTACACAAAACTTCGATGTTAATTTCGTTGGTAAACAGGCAGCCAGCGGCACAAGTGGAAAGATGAGTAATAGGGGAAAAACCCCCGCAGTGCGGAGAAGCAGTACCACCAGAGCCACTGGGTGACCCACTTAAGGCTCCTCAACAGAGTCCTCCCCTCCTCCGGGGAGATGGATGGGATGGGATGGGATGGGTACTCACTTCCATAGGATCTTCCAGAAGCAGCCGAAACTGCTGCCATTTGGCACTTCGCCCGCGTATGAGACGGTCATTGGGGCGGCTCTTGGTTTTCGGCTACACTTCTACTCGTGTAGAGTGTATCTGTATCTTTTGCTGTGTGGCCGTATCCGCGGGAAGGCCGTATCCGAATTGTTTGCTGATTGATTTTGTACGCGAATATTGTTTTTGCTTGGCTTTTTGTTGTATGTTTCGTCGCTGTTTCGTCATTGACAGCAGCGGCCACGACGGCGTCGTCGCATGTCGCTCTCCCGCTCTCTTCGGAGGAGAGTCCCTCGCCAAAGCGATCTCTTCCTCTCTTCAAAGGCGTCCTCTCTCTCGCTCTCTCTCTCTCTGTCTCTCTGTGCGAAACGGAGTCCCTCTCCGGGTTTGTAAGCTTCTCTCCTGCAAAAACAAAACAACAAAAAATTGAAAATAAATGCCATAACAATAGCTGCTGCAGCGGAAGAAGGAGAGAGAGAGAACAAGCGGGAGAGAGAGAGAAAAACCCCAACTGTAAAGCAAAGACACACACACACACACACACACACACACACACGAGTGTATATATCGTATGTTTTCGTTACATGCAAATAACAAAAATACAATTTTAACTAAAACCGAAATTCCCGCACGTTTCGTTTCGTTTCGAAGGGTTTTTGTTGCTTTTCCATTTCTATATTTTTTGTTTTTGTTTTTTTGTGTATTTATTTGACATTTAATTTCGATTGCACTTTCCAATGGGGCGGGGACGGGGGAGGGTGTAGGGGGGTAGGGGTATCATCTGTAATTAGTTTTTATTTTTGATTTAGGTTTTTTTCTATTTTTTATTTGCATTTATAGAGTTTTAAGGCTCTGCGAAACACTTTAGACCTCAGAAATATATATTTAATTGGTTTTTTTAGTTTCACGCACATCACTTTTTTTTGTATTATTTTTTGTATTATTTTTTTATTACAATCTTCATTCACCTTCGAGGCATAATTATTTTTGTTTTCTGCTGCCAGGATTTCCCCAAAAATACGATCAGCGGAGAGGAGGCAAGGGATAGAGGGGGGGGGGATACACGCTCAATGCCAAAAACTGTTTTATCATCTTTTAATTTTTGGCTTTTTTTCTCTTCTTTTTTTCACCCGAAAAACCTTGATTGTTTCTCTCTTTATTTCGTGCCCCGTCAGCGCCTTACAGTCCCCCAGTCCCCCCAGCCCCCCAGTCCCCCAATCCCCGAAGTCGCAGTTTCCGTCTGTTTACTTTTTTTTTTGGGTGGAGGGGGGGGGGGGGGGGGGGAGGGTTTTGATTTATTCCGTTGTGTATTTCGTTTATGTTGCGTTTCTCTCCCTAAAAATTGTGATTAATCGAATCATTTTTGGTCGAAGCTAAATCTTTGATTTTGAGAAACCGAGAAACCGAGAAACCTGTTGCGTGTTGCCCGGAGAGACAGAGACAGACACAGAGACAGAGGCAGAGAGAGGGAGAGAAGTTTTCGAGGTTATTTTTACTCCTTTTCGTTTGCTTTTGGCTAGTCGCCAGCCATACGATTTGTATTTTTTATTTTTTATTTTTTAAAGCTGCAAATATTTGTATTTGCATAAATGCGGAGTGGGGAGGGGGAGGGGGATTGAGAGGGAGTTCTAACTGAAACGGGTTCTCTCCATCGCTGGATCGGCTGTATCGGCGGGGGGTGGATGGGGGGGCGGGGGGTAGGGGCACGGCAGAGTTTTCACTCTAGTGCGGCGTTAATTTCGTTTACAAACATGGCAGGTGATCTTCAGGAATGTACGAGTGATACGAGATTCCACCCAATTCTCCAGCCAATGGATAACCGGTTGCTGTTGTTGTTGTTTTTTGGTTGTTGTTGTCACAAGTCACGATAGCCGTCGCCCCTCCGGCGGCCATCCACCACCCACTTGTCCCTCGATCTAGTGGCTAGATACATAGATACACAAGTAGTGTGTGTGTGTGTGTTTCCCAAGAACTATCCGATGGGTATCTCAAGCGATTGTATTGCTGAATACAGAATAATTATATTGGATGCCGAGTGCACAATTACCATAGAGAGATTTCCATGAAAAATTCTCGCACTTACGAGCTGGGATCCGGCTAATCTGTCTGTCCGTCCGCCTGTCTGTCCGCCTCGTATCTGCCTCCGAAAACAACTGCAATTCTTTCGCAATTTGCCCAAAAATCCACTCCCTTCAGCCAGAGGCTGTAAATAGCCACAGTCACCCATTGACCCGCTCAAAAGATAGCTCAAATAAATGTCCCCTTCTTCCGTAATACATTATCAAACAGGGCAAACAGCGAGCTGACAGATACAGAGGCTACACCGTGTACATGCCGAGATAAAAAGATACTCAGATACATCTCCGGAGCGAAGCCTGCCAGGCAGCCTTCACTGCGGCGCAAAGCCACGGGCAAACACAAAGAAAGACAAACAAAGCAAAGCAAAGCCAGTGCCAGTGCCCACGGACATTGATTGGTGACGAAATTCAGACTCGAATAAATTTCACTTTCTTCTGACGTATTTCGGACGGGCCCGAAGTTGCCGAATTGTTTAACAAATGAGTCAGGCGCCGAAGTGGGCCTAAACGGTGGCCCTGGCCCCCCAGATTGATGGGCGGTGGATCCCCCCTCCTGAGACGGCAGTGGGAGTATTTCTTGCCTCATTAGCACACAATAAAAGAGGGGCAGCCCGACTTCTGTTAGCATCGTTAGCATTTTCCATAAACTCATTTGAGGTGCTTCCAATCGAAAGCCCCTCGAAACGAGCGGATTTATACGGGAAAATGGGCACCTCTTGATGTAAATTGGGTATAAAATTAGCGTGTTCGTTAGGTAATTATAGATTTAACACAATAAAGCGATGAATAGATGGATATCCCCTGTGGAGAGTCGCCCCAACTGATGCATCTCTCCTGAGAATGATCCATATGCCTTGTGGGGAGGACATCTCTCCGGGAATCCATGCCCCTTGGGCCAAAGGCCCCCTCCCACTCCTGTATCTAATATATCTAATAGGATATCTGATGAGTTTTCTCGGACATTAATTAGTGGATTATAATATTTCCATGCCCGTAACGATTTTAAATCAATTTAGTCGTGGATTTTCCCATGTTTCCCCATTCATTTATCATTCCATGCCGTTGGGGCTCACACAAGTGCATCAATTACTTCATTAACAACAATCTTCCACAGCTATTTATGGCTAATCCCACTCTACTATATGTATCTTGTATCTATATACTTGTATCTACTCGTAATTGCCGCATCATTTAGCCTTTTATTCAATTGAAAAATTGCATTCGAATTTGGCTTGAAGCCAAATGCTGCCGCCGACACCCAAAAACAAAAAAATACAACAAAAATATACGAAAAAAAAAAAACATAAGCTCTGAATAGACGGCGGCTTTACGTGGAGCCGCCCGTCTAGGCCACGCGCTGGCGTGTGCTTACGACTACAGAGCAAGATACAGATACAGATACAGCTAAAGATACCGTGTCTTTGGGCTTCCCTGGGAAATATTTGATGTTCTTGCACTTGCACTTTAGTTTGATTTTTGTTCTTGCATTTTGGAGGCATTTCATCCGACGATTACACGGAAAACAGCAGTGCAACAGCAGCCAGTGGCAACAGCCGTGGAAAATGCGTCTGTTTTTTCGTATATGTATATATTATAGTGTTTCTGTTTGTTTTTCTCTCTCTCTCTCTCTCTCTCTATTGTGTTGGAGTGCTGCGAGCCAAAGACAGACCTCGGAGGGGGTGAGCGGGGGGGTCTCCCAACGCAAGGGGTTCCGCACGATCAACTGGCGATTGGCTTTGGGGGCTTTGGGGCGCCTGTGGGCCCCAGCTCAGAAACTGAACAAAACGTACCACCGAACCGCACCGCACCGAACCGCACAGCGACACGATGTCCGACGTCTGTCCGACGGGTTTAACGCTGGACTTGGACTCCCGCTGAAGCTCCCGATGTCCGATGTCCGACGATGCCGATTCCGATGTCCGACCAAACGGCTCGCCAAATGCTACGAAACTGTGCTCCACCGTTGGCCACAAGCGGCTCTTAACTGAACTTTTTTTGTGTTTTTCCTACAGCTTGGCAACAGGTAGTGGCAGCAGAGGCAGCAGAGGCAGAGACATGCGGCAGAGACAGCGGCAGACAGTCGGCTTCCATTGAAATTTTCGAGTGTATATGTGGGTCTAGAGGCAGGGGCGGGTGTCCGCTTTTAGAGGGGGGTTTCTCGTGTTAAACCAAAAACCCCTTTTGGGGCCACTCAGCCACTGCCTCTTCAAAGGGAGATACAGTGCACTCTCTCCTCGCACTCGCTCTCTCTCTCTCTCTCTCTCTCTCTTCCAAACTCTGTGCCGCTCTGAGAGTCGGCTTTTGGATGTGGCTTTGATCAGCTGTTTCGGCTTTAGATCAGCGAAGAGAGTGAGAGAGCGATGGAGCCAGGGAGCGTAATACTCATTTAGAAGAGAAAAGCGAATAATTCCACCATGGAAGAGAGAGGGACAACGAAAGGGAGTTTGGTTGGTCCAGTGGTGAGCCAGAATTTCCTTTGTTCCTTTCATGTCCTAGTTTTTCAGGGTAGATTTAATCAATTTAATTGAATTTTTCACCATCTGGTAGCAAAGGGGAACGTTTTCCAAAAAAGCAAAGCATACTTTTGGGCTGGTGCCATTTTGCTGCGGCAAAGGCGCAGAAAAATTCAAAGCCTACTTTTGGGCCCTCACAATAATTCCATTCGCATTGCATTCGCCAAAAAGTGCAGCATACTTTTGGGCATGCCAAGTTTTCTGACAAGAAAACGTTTTCGTTACTAACAAAATACTTTAATAAATTAACTATTAAACAAAAACTAAAGACTAAAAACAAAAAAAAAAACAAATTAGCTAAGCTTAACCCTTGCCAAACCGGTATTAACCCTTGGTTCCCTTGGTCATCTTCTTTCCGCTCTTTGCGGATTTCTCTGGATCTCGGGTACGCGCCGGCGACGTCTTGTAGCGCAGCCCGTGCTCCATGTAGGTGAAGGGGGGGTTCGGTTGCGTGAGGCAAAAGTACAGGCCCCTGGCAGTCGAAGGGTAAATGAGACCAATGTTGAGGGTGTTCTGGAACTGGCAGTCGCCCTGCCGGAATTTGGCCCAGCTTTCGCATTTGGTGGCGGGGATCATGACGCCCTCGATGAGTGCCTGCCAGAGAAAGAGAGCGGAGAAGAGTTGGACATCGAGAGCGAGAGCGAGAGACAGAGACAGAACATACCTCCATGAAGAGAACGAACGGATACATGTGGCTGCAGATCTTGGAGTCGCAGCCGGGCTGCAGTTTCCTGCGCGGGAAGTACCCAATGCCATTCGGATAGATGTCGATGTGCCCCACGGGCACACGCACCCCAAAGACATCGCCCTCCCCGTGCAGCACCACCACGCGCTCCGCGACGCCCTGCTTGACGAGGATATCGGTGGTGCGGCACATGGTGGCCGGATCGATGGCCACCAGTTGGCCCACCAGCTGCTTGGATCCCCTGGCGAAGAGCTGTGCGCCCAGGGCGGCGATGTTCGCCCCCACCGAATGTCCGGCGAGCGTGATGTCCTGCGGGGCAATGCCCGCCTCCCTGAGGGCCTTCAGCACATTGTAGATGGCATATCCGTGCACGGAGAGATGATGCCGCACCGCGTAGTAGAGCTGTGCCACGTCCCTCGCAAAATCCACGACAATCACATTCAGATCCCGCCGGCTGTTCTGCAGCAGCGACAGGTGCTCCTGGACGCTGAAGTAGCTGTCGGCCGTGTGGAAGGCATTCACGTAGATGAGGGTCTTCCTCTCCGGACTGATGTCGAAGTCTCTCAGCTGCGAAATCGACTTGATGGGCAGCTCCACGCTCCGATTCGTGACGGTCATCACGTGGAGTGCCGCATCGCTGGGATTAATGCCCTGGAACAGAGACATGACGCCCTCGTCCACAGGGGCATCGCCTAAGAGTCGGTAAGAGTCGGTGGGAAAGCAGGCAAGTTAGAGATGGGCTGGGCAAGAGATGGGGAGTTGGCAGGGGCGTCCGGACTTACAGAAGGCTCTCCACCCGCGATTCAGTTGCTCTGTCAACAGCTGAATGTTGTGCTTCTGGATGGTCTCTATACTTGCAGGTGTCTTGGGCTTATTCTCCTGCGCAAGGGCCATCATCGAGGGCAGGAGCACGGCCACGGCCACGAGGAGGGTCTTCAGTGCGTTTGACGTGATCGTTTCCATGGCCACGGCTTCTCTCATGGCTGAAGGTGCTCCGACCAGAGCTTTTATAGATCTACGTTCTTATCGATCGTCTCTCTCTCTCTCTCTTATCTGGCAGTTCGTGCCACAGCCACAGCCACCGCCACGCCACGTCTGAGACGTCTGGGCAGCGTCTGCCGAAAAAAACACCCCTTAAGATAGTGGATATATCTCTTGGAGCTATGTGCCCCAATCTATGATTGATTATGTTTTTTTTCGGCATCGAATCGTGCTCTCAAAAACCGAAAACAAAGATCGTTCGTGCCAGAAGTTTCCTTTATTCGAGATTAAATTTTTCATTCACTTTTTTTTTTATCTTGTTCTTTTTCAGATGCTTTCGAGTGCTTGGAGATGCCAACATATCTAAGGGTGCTCTAGGGTAAGATACATATATAATTTATACTAGATTTTGTTCCAGACACGCGTCCGGCAGCAGCGCCCATCGTTTCGGGCTCTCATTCCGCCCGGAATTGGCTTTTGCTTCGACTTTGTGTCCTTTTTGTTTTTGTTTATGTTTTGTTTGTGGCTATATTGTAATATATTCTCATATGTGGCTGTAAATTTCGACTAGAACCCGAATGTTATTCCGAGTTTTTTTGGTGTGTGTTTCCAAATTTACGCTAATTTTCTGCTAATGAGGTAGCGGCGGTTGTTGTCGGTCGAGACTCTCTCTCTCTCTGCTCCTCCTCCGCCCCTCTCTGGGGGGAGTGGGGGGTGGAGAAGGAGAGTTTCCTGAGAGTTGCCTTAAAAATACGATCCTTAGAAGCTACAGAACAGAAAATGAGGGGAGTAGTGCGAGGGAGGGAGGTGTAGGGGTAGAAATTCCATAAAAAAAAAAAAAAATCTTTCAACTTAAATTTTTAATTATTATTATTTTTGTTGTTTAAATAATAAATACAAATGAGAAATGCATTAGAAAGATAAAAAATAACAAAAAAAGAAAAAAAACACATTTGGTACGGGGAAATACTTGATGGCTTCTTGTGGGAATTTTCACTGGATTTTCCCTGCCCTCCCCCCTCTAGGATTAGTCCCCGCCTAGAACTTGAGTCCTGCCTGGACATCGGCCATGATGGTGGCCGACTTTTGCAGCTGCTCGATTTCGGTGGCCGTCAGGATCTGCTTGACGACGGAGGTGACGCCGTTGGCGTTCAGGATGCAGGGCAGCGACAGGAAAACGTCCTTGTCGATGCCATGTTCGCCCTGGAAAAGGAAACGATTGCTTGAGTGAATGGTGTTCGAGTCCGGCGACCAGGCGACCAGGAGACCAGGCGACGACTTACCAGCACTGAGGTGGAGACCGCTGCCACGCTGCTCGTGTTCCGCAGAATGGCCGAGGCCAGGGAGGCCGTGCTCAGGCCGATGGCCCACGAGGTGTAGCCCTTGAGCTTGATGACCTCGTAGGCCGAGTCCACGACCTGCTTGTGGAGCTCGTTCCACTTCTCTGGGTCTTCGCCGGTGCCCAGAATGGGGTTCAGCTCACGCAGGCGAACGCCGGCGATGTTGACGCCCGACCACACGGGCACCGAGCTGTCTCCGTGCTCCCCAATGATCCAGCCGTGGCAGGAGGTGGGCGCCACGCCCAGGCGCTGCGACATCAGGAAGCGGAAGCGCGACGAGTCCAGGTTGGTGCCGCTGCCGATGACGCGGTTCTTGGGCAGGCCCGACAGCTTCCAGGCCACGTAGGTCATGATGTCCACGGGGTTGGAGACCATCAGCAGAATGGTATCGGGACTGTACTGCAAGGAGACGCAAGGGGGACATTCAGAGAGGAGGCCTGCAGGGGCGGGGTCTCCGCGGGGCACTTACCTCCACCAGCTTGGGGATGATGTTCTTGAGGATGTCGGTGTTGCGCTGCACCAGGGACAGACGGGACTCGCCCTCCTTTTGGCGGACTCCAGCCGTCACGATGCACAGCCGCGAGTTGGCGGACGCCGCGAAGTCGGTGCTGGCCGTGATCTGGGGGTTCTTCAGGAAGTTGGAGCCGTGCTGCAGATCCATCAGCTCGCCCTGCAGCTTGTCCGCGCAGACGTCGATCAGGCAGACCTCCTTGGAGACGCCCTGGGCGAGGATGCTGAAAGCGCTGGCCATGCCCACCTGGCCGATGCCCACCACGGTGACCTTGTGACCCGAGCTGGGCAGAACTTCGGCTACTTGGGCCAAGAGGCTATCCTTGATGGCGGCCATTGCTGTGGGGGAGGGGAAAAGGGAATTCTTTAGAATTTATCCACTAGTTTTTTTTGGGTATATACTCTCTCTCTCTCTCTCTCTCTCTTTCACACAGATTTCACGCACGTACCGCTCCCATAGCGGCATTGTTTAACCTCCACCAAGGTCGTATTAATGAGAAAAACGCGACATCGCCAGAGCCACACGCAACAACTGGCGCGGGAACACATTGCCGAAAAAATTCAACTTTTTCGAGGTTTTTTGGCTCGTTTTTCATAGACCGAAAACTTGTGACCACCGAAGGGGCTTGGGCAGGGGGGAAAGCCAGCAATCAGGGGGGGATCTGGTCTTGTCACTTGATCGCTGGAGACCCACTGGAGGACTGGGGCGTGGTGCTCAATTAGAAGCCCCCGACCCGCGGATCGGAGGCTCAGATTTTCACAAATGAAGCGAAAACTGATACCAAAATGATATCGGAATGATAACGGAATGATTTATCAATGAAATAGATTGCGAAAAACCATTCCCAAATAATCGTTTTATTAGTGATACGAGAAAGATGATGATTTTGCTTCCTCAGAGGCTTATCTTATCGGAGGAATCGAGGCAATTAAAGCACTTGAAGCTAATCCCAATTATCAGTGGAATATCAATGGAATCTGGTGTGAGGAATGCATGGGATTGTACCCTATAGGAAGGTACGGATCGCATGGAGAGGAGTATTTCAGGGAAGAGCTCCGTATAAAGGGGTGTCCCAGGAATTGGCTGCTTGGGAATACAAAAGCAGGTTCTAGGAGGAAGAGTTTCTATGGGAAGCCACCACTGTAGACGGACCATAGGAGGGTTTGCGTCACAGGAATAGTGCGTCATCCCCGTATCTTTGCAACATTTGCCACATATAGATAGATTTTCCCGCACGATAAGATTATTCGCTGGATTGTAAATGCATTTCGAGCACGTTTTTAATGAGAACTATATTGTCGCAGGTGTCGAGTGTTTTTCCCCGCGCAATTTCCCCTCCGAAAGGGCGATAGCGATCCGTGATATACAATGCCAGAAATGAGATCTTTAATAATGATGAATGATTGGAAAGCATCCCGTGTTTATTTTCGATGGAAACTCGTAAATATTTATAGAAAATGGGCGGAGGGTTGGGGGCGGGGGGATGTATTTGTGCTCGAATTTTCCAATAAACATCCACAGACGGAATGTGAGCGAGGGCTTTGGTTTGGGTGTGGAATCACTTGTTGCAAGCAGCAGGAGGACACTCTTACACACGAAATACGGAAAATACACGGAACGAATGACCTTCCTTCAAAGTCAAAGCCCCCCCCCCCCGTCCGAACAGCTGTTTGGCGGCGCACAGCGCATGCTCTCGAATGAAAATGAAAGTGAAAGTGGGAGTAGGGGAGGGGAGCGCAGGGGGGGTGCTGTGGGGGCACTGCCCAATCGAGTCCGGGAAATGCCAAATGTGGAAGGCCAAGGGCGAGGCTTGGATGCGGTGGAGTGCAGGGGTGGGCAGGGGAGGGCAGGGTTTCGAAAGTTGAATGCACTTTCGATGATGAGGCAGGGATCCTCTTTTTTGGCGCTCTTATAGAACGGGATATATAAACTCCATTGGGACACTGCCGCCCCGTTTCCTTCCGCCCTTCGATGGGCCAAGAAGGGGGGGAATTCTTTTTCAGTCACTTTCAAAAATTATCCAAAAAAAAAAAGAAAAGCCAACTGAGATTTCAGACTTGAGATTTCTCCATACTTCTCCCAGTATTTATCTGTAGTGTCTTTAGCTTACTTTTTGCTTTGTTTTGTGCTTTTTGGGTTCACTTTTTCAAATGGAAAATACTTTTCGGACCGCTCTCTGAGGTCGTCGACACTGTTTGTTCCGTTCACTTTGCGGGTTCGTTGCGAACTGTTGGCTCCACAAATGCGGGCTGCGGATGGAATTTGTAGCTTGCCGCCGCCGCCGACTGGATTTTGTAGGCTCTCTCGCAGTCGCAGTCGCAGTCGCAGTCGCGGTGGCTGTGGGCAGCGGCAGCGGCCGGGGCAGGATGAAATGACGAAACCGCCGCAGTGGCATGGTGAAAGTGAGAGCAATGCTCTCTTCGGTTGCTCTCTGGCTCTCCAGAATTTTCGGCTCCACCACATTTGGGCCATGTTCGAAGTCAAGGTGACCTTTTGCCTGTGGGTTGCTCTGCTTCTCTGCTCCTCCTCCTCCTCCTCGGCCGCTGCTGCTGCTGCTATTTATAGGCCTCACGTTTTTTGGGGCTTATTTGATTTGTTGTTTTGTTTTTTTTTTGCTTTTCCTGGAGCTCGTGGCAGCTGCGCTGAGGGTGGAGTGGGAGGAGAGGAGGGGAGGGTAGCCACTTGAGAGGTGGATTGTGGATCAGAGCACAGAATATCATTGTCGTAGGAGTTCATTAATTCATTCCCTCAGCCATAAATTACTGGGATCTCTGGATCTCTGAGCAATTCCGATTCCTACGATCTTTTTTCCGGTGGTTGTTTGTGTCCGTTGCCGTCGCCTCGTGACAACAGCTGGGCTCTCGGGGCTCTCAGCTGTCGGGGCACGTGCCCCGCCAGAGATCCAGTCAATAGGTATGGAATTGTTCTTGGCCAAGAGCCCAGTCAGGCGGCTGCAGAACCGGCACTCAATTAGCCAACAGCTGCTGGCGGCAGACGTGCGATTTATTTATAAAAGTGCGAATTTCCCGCACTTTCAATGCCCTAGAAATACGAGAGGGGATTACCCCAGGCAAAGGGTATTTCCCGGGCTCGAATAAGTCAAAAAAAGGGAAAGAGATGCCCCATAGGTGACGAGGTATCAAAAGGAAGATCCCACGATTAGAGGGTATTTCGTTGAAGAGGAAAAAGATGGATCGTCCAAGGTATGATATCATCTGAAGACCTCGGGTGTGCGAACGTCATCGTCTATGCCTCGTGCTAAGACTCTGAAAACACCCTGTAAATCGTGTCGTCTACCTGCCGAGAGGCAATGCATGCATTTCACCACCATTCGCCACCGGAGAGGGCAAGGGAGAGAGAGAGAGAGAGAGAGTAAGAAGGAGAGTGCGAGAATACCCGCTGCACAAGTTTTTTGCCGGCGTTCGTGACTAGCCGCACACACACACGGACACACGGACACACGGACACGCACGAATGATTCACTCTGCAGTCTACAGTCCGCTCTACCGGTCTCTCTCTCTCCCTCTCTTTCCCTTCTCGATTTCACGATTTTATTCATTTACTACGTCATCAACAGCTGACGAATGAACTACAGCTCACCCCCCCCCGACCAACCACCACCCACCCATTCGATGCCACTGCAATTTTGTTTGATTGTTGCGAAAGTCTCTCCGTCTCCCTCTCCCTCTCTCTGTCTCGGAAAGTGGGTCACCTTCCCATGGCGCAGTGTGTGTGGGGGTCAATGTCAATGCGAATGCACTTCCTCCCCTCCCCCTTCCACCCCAGAGCTACCGCCCAGACCTCCTCCAGACGTGCACAGGTCACACTCAATGAAGCCATGACGTTGTCTTCCACTGCGATGATGAAATGTGGCCCCAAAATGAATCGTAGGCTTGGGTTCTCTGGGTTTATTGAACTCTTGCAGGGCCTGTACCTGCTGGAAACTCTGAAAAGCACTTCCCAAGGCAGAAACCTGTAAGCCGAGGCTGAGATACGAGTATGTGGCAATTGAGAACTTTGTTTAGAAAACAAAGTCAAAAGTACAGAAATTGCTCGAAATTTAAGAAAGAAAAAACGGAAGAAAGGCAGCAAGGAAGCAAGCCGTTGTTGTCCTGTCACCTTGCAGTAGGTCGCCTATTCGAGTAAAACAAGCAGTTGTACAGCAGCACTCGTAGCGAAACAATACAGAATATCAGATAGCACAATAATAATTTATTTCACAAGCGACAAACATTCTCCACAAACGCACAATGAACTCTGACGACTTAAAGGGTATACTGAAGGGCGGCAGCAACGAGGCACCGCAGAAGCCAGCAGACCAGAAGACGGCCAAGTTCGACGAACTAAACGTGCTGGCGACCTTCCATCCGGAAGGCAAAACCTACGGACACATGATCATTGACGAGCCGAAGACCCCGTTCGTGTTCGAGGATGAATTGCCAAAGAAGCTGGACACCGCCGAACTGATGGAGAAACTGCGCTTAACCTCGCAGTCGGCGACGCCCTGCTTTGGCATAGAGCAGGACTCCGATGACTCGTCGGACGATGAGGACTTCCCCGAGTCCGTGGAGGAGAAGGTGCGGCGCATTGAGTTCGAGCGCCGCCGCAAGCTGCACTACAAGGAGTACTTCTCGGTACCGCTGGCCCGTCGCCTGATTGCTGAGGAGTTCGGTGATATGTTCCCCTCAGAGCCGACCTGCAAGTGCGAGCCAAGTTCTGGCGTGGACGAGACCGGCCCGACACGGGCCACGCACGACACCGTGATGGAGGAAGAGCACCAGCTACTGGACCCAGAGCAACCCAGCTCGCACTCCTTGGCCCACGCCGAGTCCAATGACGGCGGGTACAGGATCGACCCAGAGCCGGTCCTTGATCCCAGCCACCCGTGCTACCAGCAGTTGACGGCCCAGACCAACCGCCCGTTAACCGCCGAGACCGACGAGGCTCTCCACATTGCCTCGCTCGGCTATATGCGCAGCGTTCCATCGATGGGCGAGGAGTTTTCGGACGGCAAGCAGGTCCGTGTGCCAAATGCCTCTTACGTGGCTGGTCCCAAAGGCAAACCGACGAAGAGTCCATCAGCAGGCACATTATAAAGAGATGTCAAAGATGGTTGGCCTTTCGCTTGATTTGTTAAAATTATTATGTTACTTGCAGAAATGAATCATCAGATTGTAAAATCAGAGGCAAGGTTTTGTTTTATTTTTTGAAGATGCGAAAAGCGTGTGCCATTCAATATTTTATCTAAACTTGTCCACATTTTTATAAGCTTCCTCGTTCAACACTTCCAAAATGTAGCAAATGCTTGGATCGGCGCTGTGCAGCTACATGGACATGTCGTAGTCATCTACATGGCGGCGCAGTGGCGCTCCCTTATGTAGTTGAGAGATGTGACATTACTTATTACATGTCGAACGTAAATAACGGGATGTTGTGGGGAAGGTATTACTTCGTGGTGCGGAGTGTGGGGTCTTCCCGGCTTCGCTCCTTGGCTCGGCTCCTTGATGACGCTTGCTGCCATATTGGCAGCCACGTGCCACGTCTGCTCGTCGGCTATCATCCGTTCGGTGAGGGTGTCTGCGTTTACTCCTGGGCTCGTCTCTTTTCCTCCATCTTCCCTTCTCGGCTTTGTCCCATCGTGAACCGTCATGCCGCGTAGCCGAACCGCAGCCGTACAAATACAAATGCAAATACAAATACCACTACAATTAATAATTACTAGAAAGGTTGGTGAGTATTAGCAACTAAATAAGAGGAAGAGAATCAGTGGTGGATATAATATGGTAGACGGAATTATAATCCGAGCATAATTCCCTAAAAGGAATAATTCGATATACAAAGTGGAAGGAACAACGGTATCAAAATTCCAGTGAGTCTAATAGGAACAGATCCCAACAGGGCTGTCTGTGTCAACCCTGATCAAGTTGTGCACAAAAGTCACACCAAGCATTTTTCTACCGTCAACTAAGGATGGGACGTTTACTAATCACAGTCTGCTAGAGTAAGATGGGAGTCTCCCACCCGCATCCCAGTTAAGGCCCCGCAGAGCAAAGAGTAAACAGCTTTTCTGTACTGATTCTATACGGTCCTGGTGTACTTTGTACTGCGGGCACCATACACAGGAACTAGCGAGGTGTAGTGAGTCTTTGTTATATAGGGGTCGTCCAATTCCTTTGACCATCTCTTAATAAACCCAAGCACGCGCATGGCCTTTTTTACCATGGTAGAAATGTGTTCAGAAAACTTTAGCTTGGCGTCTAACATAACACCAAGATCATCCACCAGGGTAATTTTCCCAAGAGAAGCACCACATAGGGTATATGGAGCCAACAAGGGGCTAGAACCGTGAAATATCATAGCTTTGCATTTCGAGGCATTGAGGTGCAACAAGTTTGCACAACAGCACGACTGAAAGTTGTTGAGATCGGATTACAGGAATGTAATGAAATGTCCTTATACTGGACACAGAGCTTAGCATCACCCGCATACATAAGTACTCGAGAGTATGTTAATACCGAAGGCAAGTCATTGATAAAGAGTGTGAAGAGTAAGGGGTCTAGGTGGCTGCCCTGTGGTAGTCGCGAAGAAACCTTTACTGGTTAGGAGAGGGAGGACTCTTCAAGTACCCCTAGGTATTTTAGGGCGGACTTGGTAGTGAAGGCAAGGACAGACCATTCATTGCGAGCCAGGATGTTATACTTCCAACCGCTACGTTGCATTTGTCGCTTCCGGTAGCTGGAGCCGCGTCTTGGGTGCTTCTGTGGTCGCTTAGGACCTTACGGGTTTGCTTCTGATGGCGTCTCTTAGGGCTTTCCGGTTGGCCTTGAATGACACTTTGTTGCCCCCTTGTTGCATTCCTAATGGCGAGATGTCCGTCACCGTGCTTGCAAAGGTGAGGTCTATGATGACTCCCGGCCCGCATTGCTGTACGTCGGGGTGCTTCCTATGTTCAGGAGACAGACGTTCAGGCTTGTGAATTCGTCCAGGAGCGCTGTTCCACGGGGCGTGCCCAAGTCGTGGCCCAGGCGTTGAAGTCCCCCGCTGTTATGACCGGGGATCTGTGATCTCTGATGATCGCCTGATATTCGTGCTGCGTGAAGCGAGGCCCCATATAGTAGCTATACAAAGATGTGACTACCAAATATACATATAGCCCAACCTGGATGCTCTATGTGATCGCTTCCACAGATTTGTCCCCTTGTAGGGCCCACTGAGCAGCACTACGTTGATCTGCTGCTTCAGAACCGTGTGTGTCATCAAGTCCTGGGCAGTACGGCAGTGGTTGAGGTTAAGATGGAGTAGCTTACCCTGCAATCAGCTGGGAAATGGCCGTCTTGTTCTCCGGACGGCTGCGGCTGAGGACCAAGGGAGCTGTTGAGCGAGTGTCTCCGTTGTTGCCCACGCACTGAAGACACTTGGGGGGGGGGGTCTTGCATTGGTTCTGCATGTGGAGAGGGGCCTCTCCACAGCCTGTTCCTGTCCTTAGGTCATACACTTGTAGCAGTAGTAGTAATCGGCATAATACGTCGTCGCATGCGGCACACAATCCAGGAGCGTCTGGGCGAGGGCGGGCTGGGCGTTCTGTGTGGCCACCTGCGGGCACCATACACTCTTCGCATCCCCGGTGCTGCTCGGTACTTGCCCCAAGTCGCAGCCGATCGCTGCAGATATCGCCTCCAGTATCTGATAGCCTGTCGTGAGCTCGTCTACATCGAGCACTTCGACCGCCACTATCTGCTGGATGGGCTTCACGACTGCTAGGGGAGATAGCACTGCCTGGTTTGCATTCTAAGACTACTGGGTCAGAGGGCAAGTCCAGGCAGGATCAGACGGTTGTTGCATCCTGAGGAGAAGTTCGCCCGAGGCTGTCTTCCCTGTGCCCTAGTCCTGGCTCTTCAGGCCCTGGAGCGTTGGTGCTGCCTTCATCAGCTTCAGGATGTCCGCGTATGTACTGCGTCCTCTTCGCCCTCTTCGTCGTCCTCTGATCTCGTTCCACTTCTGTGCGGGTTCAGTGCTTCGCGCGCTGCTCGACGGCTTCTTGGTCGCCTCTTGTCGGCTGGCGTCGATAGTTTGTGCTTACCGTGCACGCCGTCCTCCTTGTCCCGGGGTGATGGTCCGTTCCTGCGGAGTCCTGGTGTTGTCTGAGTCCCTTGGCCACTCTGGGTTTTGTGGGGTTTGGGTGGGAGTCCTGCGGTGTGCCAGTGGCATTGCCATTCCCCCGTAGCTGCCTTTTCTTCTTCAACAGGGACCTGACCTCCAGTTGCAGCTCCTTCATGGGCGACATCATCTTCTTGGTGGTCATGTTGTTCTTTTCGTTCATCTGGTGCCATAGGTCGTCCAGTATTGCACTGGGATGCGTTGGAATTCTAAGGAAAAACTCTGAAAAGCACTTCCCAAGGCAGAAACCTGTAAGCCGAGGCTGAGATATGTGGGAATTGAGAAGTTTGTTTAGAAAACAAAGTCAAAAGTACAGAAATTACTCGAAATTTAAGAAAGAAAAAAAGGAAGAAAGGCAGCAAGCCGTTGTTGTCCTGTCACCTTGCAGTAGGTCGCCTATTCGAGTAAAACAAGCAGTTGTACAGCAGCACTCGTAGCGAAACAATACAGAATATCAGATAGCACAATAATAATTTATTTCACAAGCGACAAACATTCTCCACAAACGCACAATGAACTCTGACGACTTAAAGGGTATACTGAAGGGCGGCAGCAACGAGGCACCGCAGAAGCCAGCAGACCAGAAGACGGCCAAGTTCGACGAACTAAACGTGCTGGCGACCTTCCATCCGGAAGGCAAAACCTACGGACACATGATCATTGACGAGCCGAAGACCCCGTTCGTGTTCGAGGATGAATTGCCAAAGAAGCTGGACACCGCCGAACTGATGGAGAAACTGCGCTTAACCTCGCAGTCGGCGACGCCCTGCTTTGGCATAGAGCAGGACTCCGATGACTCGTCGGACGATGAGGACTTCCCCGAGTCCGTGGAGGAGAAGGTGCGGCGCATTGAGTTCGAGCGCCGCCGCAAGCTGCACTACAAGGAGTACTTCTCGGTACCGCTGGCCCGTCGCCTGATTGCTGAGGAGTTCGGTGATATGTTCCCCTCAGAGCCGACCTGCAAGTGCGAGCCAAGTTCTGGCGTGGACGAGACCGGCCCGACACGGGCCACGCACGACACCGTGATGGAGGAAGAGCACCAGCTACTGGACCCAGAGCAACCCAGCTCGCACTCCTTGGCCCACGCCGAGTCCAATGACGGCGGGTACAGGATCGACCCAGAGCCGGTCCTTGATCCCAGCCACCCGTGCTACCAGCAGTTGACGGCCCAGACCAACCGCCCGTTAACCGCCGAGACCGACGAGGCTCTCCACATTGCCTCGCTCGGCTATATGCGCAGCGTTCCATCGATGGGCGAGGAGTTTTCGGACGGCAAGCAGGTCCGTGTGCCAAATGCCTCTTACGTGGCTGGTCCCAAAGGCAAACCGACGAAGAGTCCATCAGCAGGCACATTATAAAGAGATGTCAAAGATGGTTGGCCTTTCGCTTGATTTGTTAAAATTATTATGTTACTTGCAGAAATGAATCATCAGATTGTAAAATCAGAGGCAAGGTTTTGTTTTATTTTTTGAAGATGCGAAAAGCGTGTGCCATTCAATATTTTATCTAAACTTGTCCACATTTTTATAAGCTTCCTCGTTCAACACTTCCAAAATGTAGCAAATGCTTGGATCGGCGCTGTGCAGCTACATGGACATGTCGTAGTCATCTACATGGCGGCGCAGTGGCGCTCCCTTATGTAGTTGAGAGATGTGACATTACTTATTACATGTCGAACGTAAATAACGGGATGTTGTGGGGAAGGTATTACTTCGTGGTGCGGAGTGTGGGGTCTTCCCGGCTTCGCTCCTTGGCTCGGCTCCTTGATGACGCTTGCTGCCATATTGGCAGCCACGTGCCACGTCTGCTCGTCGGCTATCATCCGTTCGGTGAGGGTGTCTGCGTTTACTCCTGGGCTCGTCTCTTTTCCTCCATCTTCCCTTCTCGGCTTTGTCCCATCGTGAACCGTCATGCCGCGTAGCCGAACCGCAGCCGTACAAATACAAATGCAAATACAAATACCACTACAATTAATAATTACTAGAAAGGTTGGTGAGTATTAGCAACTAAATAAGAGGAAGAGAATCA